ACACACACACACACACACACACACACACACACACACACACACACACAGAGTGCCTTAAAAGAATAATATTACATGATAGATTTCTGGATACTGAAGTGTAAATGTTTCAAACTGTGACCCGTAGCTCCAATTTGGAGATGCAGTGTGCAAAGTGAATTGCCTAGCGCAGTTTTAATGACCAGAAACATGTTTCCCATCATTCACTTGCAAACAAGTGTATGAAGTGTACCATGCTCTGGTCGGGGGGCACAGTGGCGTGGTGCTTCCTGATACAGTGGTCCTGGATCATCTCCTGCAGCCCTTTGTGGAGGCTCTCGGAGCGCAGCCAGTGTCGCCTCTGGCTCTGCAGCTTCTGCTCAGCCTGGAATAAAGCATCTGTAAGTGCTCACACAAACACAAACGCAAAAGCTAACACACTCAGACCCGAGCACGAGGAAACGGGTTCCATCTCTGTGATTGCAATTCTTACTGGTTACCAGTGGAGATCGGTAAGTCATAGACGACTGTGTGACTAAATAGGAAAACCTTCTTTCTTCGTTTGGTCTAACTTAAGTTTAGTTTGAATTGCATCATGTAATACATCCATCCTGCAAAGCAAGAAGCTTGTATGTTAGTAACTGTGGAAGGTAACGTTGTTGTTTTTTGACCTTTTCCAGCTCTGCTTTCAGTGAGACCGTGAGTCCATTCTGGTCCACATGTTGAGACAGGGTGGCCAGGAGTTTACAGAACTGAGGGTTCTGGGTCAGATCCTCCTCTGTGATGTCACACAGAGGCAAGGAGGCAAGAACTGGGCGGGAGGACAGTAAATACAGCAAACGTGTTATCAATGGCCAAACCAAAGCACTGACAGGACATTCACAACAGAAACGTACAGCAATCCAACTTCAATCAAAGCTACTATAGCTCCTCTCAAACGCAGCATATGCTTTCATATTTAACTGCTTAGAAAATCGTATTACTTTGGTTTTTGGGTATAAATAAGCAATATGTTAGGACGAGGTTATTCCTCTCTTATCTTATTATAAATAAAGTTTCAAGCCACAATATGCATGTATCACATGGAGTTAATAGTCTAAGCAGCAGCTAAGGTTACATTAAGTTCGTAGCTAAACTTGTTTTCTTACCCTGTTGCTGCAGGCTGTCACCCTTCAGTAGCGATGAGACATGTGTGGACTCGGGACCGGCGGACATTCTCAGCTGAACTGTGTTTCTTATTAACCAAGAAACTTATCGTATTTTTTGGATTTCTGAAGACTTTTCTCGCTAGCTGGTAAACGCAACATGAAATGCGTACTTCCTGAATCAAGTTGCGCGCGCTTGAAGGAAGGGTTCCTATTGGTTAAATGAGCCATGTGGTCAATACAACCGAGCTCCGCCCCTTCTGCCTCCTTTCGAGAACTGCATGCCACTCGCGGGAGCGCGCACTGCGAAAGCGAAAATTAAATGTAAATTTTTTTTAAAGAAAAAGTACCGTTTAACAAAAACATAATCTTCGTTGTAATGAGTGATAATAAAATATGTATGTTGTCTGTATTGAATTTAAATTAAAAAAATGATTCCATTCATAGTTTCCCCAAATTATACCAAACCTTGGCATAACATGGCGCAAAATAATAAAGTTTATCATCAGACTGCATCTTCAGAGTAAAGCTTCATGTCAAAATCAGTCAATCAACATGATGTGTTAAGTATTATCTTATCACAGCACTTCAGCAGGAAGGTAAAGATAATTCCCAGGGTGTGTTGTATACCTTTGGTATGTTCAGCTCCCCGGGTCTCAGCTTGGATCTGTATCTAAAACTTCTTGTGGTTCAGTTTGGTGAGTGCTCCAAATCCTTCCACCAGATGGACTAAGAAGACAGCTTTTCCTCTACCAGAGAGGGCGTTGTCTCAGCCATGTGGGGTACTCATGCACAACCATTACAGCAGCCATGCCTCTAACATATTCTTTGAGTTGTGAATTAATTTCATTCATCAACACAATTGTGTTTCTTGAGTTATGCCAGTTCTGGGATCGGGTAGTTGTAATGGTGAAAAGTCACTCTGCTGTTCTCATCCAGATTCCTGAATTCAATCCACTCTGTCTTAATCCAAACATGGATTTTCAGATTTTGTTTTATAGTCAGCCAAATCTGAGTCCTGGTAGATTATTGTGAATCCAAAATATTATAAAACTGAAGAATTTACCCCCAAAAAAGCTTTTCCTAATGATGTAATAGATGTTGAGGGACATCAATAATGTGGGCTGGAATTTGTGATAAATGGGCCCTGGGAAAAGAAACATGTTCCCTAAATCAGGGGTTCTTAACCTTTTTGACCTCGGGGCCCAACTTTTCAAGTACAAAGTGTCCCGGGGCCCATTCAAATATTAACACTATTAGTTAAACTAATTGATCTCACTCTTGGTTTGATTTGTATTCAATAACTATATTGTTACCTGTTCAACTCCACCCCTATTTTGGAGCAAAACTGCCTAAAATGACATACCCAAATTAAAATGGCTGTAGCTTCTGAACCACTGTGACTATATGCATCAAAAGTGTCAGAAAACCTGTAGGTCATACAGAAACAGAGCAGTGGGCCTTTGGAGTCAGTAAAAATTGAAGATTTTTGTCCGCATAAAATAAAAAAGTATAAATAACTGCCTGTGGCTGTATCTGTACAGGTAAATGACAGTATATGGCTGTAACTACACTATCAGTGAACAACTGTCTCAAATTTGAAGATTGGACAAAGTATGACGATTCTACAGTGTTTCTTCCATGAAGAGATCCAGGCGGAGCTCTAAAAGGATATTTGGAGACCCAAATGGACACACGGTAACCAAATGATATTCTGACACACTAAAGGTGTTTCTCCCTTTATATTTTGATATTATATTATTTTCCTTTTATTTTTAGCCTTTGCAAATTGCAAAAACTATACAAATATGGTTGATGATGTGGTATGTCAGCAGTGGACTTATAATGGCTGCGGCTGAATGAACGATCAAGTATGAGAATAGCTCAGTTATGCAAGGTTATACGTTGGTTGACAGCTTATAGAAGAGGAAGATAAGGTTTGTACTTTAAGTACTAGCGTTTTCTGAAGCTACTAGCTCCATGGTAACATCCGCTAGCACATTGTTGGGTCTGTAATGTGTATTTTTCCGTCGAAATGCTGCAAGATCCGACTTGCAGCGGTTATGGCGACTTTGGACAGTGTGTGTTTGGGCTGCTTTTGTGAAAAATCCATAAGAAATGAAAGGAAATCGATGATTTCTTTGCAAAGATGAGGGTTTTGGGCATGCTGGGATACCAAACACGGCCATGTTTTGTGACGTAGATTGCGCAAGCAAGCCGTAGGAACGGAACGGAAGGGGAGGGGATCGAGGACGCCGGCGTCCTCGCGGAGTTGAACAGGCAAAACCCTTGTCAAATAAATGAGATGATACAATGTGATGATCACAAAGACATTTATTTATCATGTGTATGTAAACGTGCATACACAACCAGAAGCCCAACAGGCTTTCCCACGAGCGTTGGATGTTACTCATATATATATATATATATATATATATATATATATTACTCATTAAATGATTTAACACTGATGCCCTCTAGTGGTTAAATCGTGTAAAGTTTCTGACTCATTCAATGATATAACACTGCTGCCCTCTAGTGGTTAAATCGTGTAATGTTTATGACTCATTCAATGATTTAACACTGCTGCCCTCTAGTGGTTAAATCGTGTAATGTTTATGTACCCAGCATGCAGTTCGGCGGTGAAATTTTATAAATGTACAATTATTAGTGTTACAAATTGTTTATGTGTCACAGACTGTTGTGTGCTGTTGTGTTTTTCTCTGTTAAAGAGCATTAGTTGTGGGTTGTTAATTGTTGTGTTATAAAGTTATGACCATGACTAGGGTTCCCTCTCAATACATATAAGACAACTAGCGCTAACCACTGTGCATTAGCAGTAAAGAATACATTTAGCTGCCTGTTGAAAGCAGACAGCAGTTGTTTTACCTAAGCACCGGTATAATGGTGTGTGAATAATTCATATCATACGGGAAATTAAAACCGGTATACTTCCCAGCTCTAGTCTTTATTATAGTTTGGACAATTTTGTACCAATATTTGACGGGCCGGATTAAAAAGCCCAACGGCCGTTGTTTGCCCATGCCTGGGCTAGCGGCTAGCTGAGTGTCTTCTGCTTATTGTAGCTTGTTAAACAACTGACTGACGCATTACCGCCACCAGGTGGTGGGAAGCTATATTATAGCTGAGCGTCTCATGGAGAACAGTAATATCTCTGGTGTCTTCAATTGATAACCTATGCGGCCCTCGCGGCCCACAGGTGCAAAACTGAAAGTTTTTTGCGGCCCTCTAGGTGGCCCCATGGTTAAGAATCACTGCCCTAAATCACACCCTCCAGTCTTTTGGTGTCTCTCATCGTGTTTTGATGCCGTTCAGGATTCTCTATTTCCTCAATATCATTTTAGATCTGATATTTTCTTGTCCTTGGCTCCGGACATCAGCTGCCAACAGCATGGCCAATTGTTGCTGTCGGTGTTGGCATGTAGAAGATTTGAGAGAACTTATTGAATTTCCAGGCAGAGGCAATATTGCTAGCAGAAGTTCACTCTTGTTTTGCTTTGGCACAGGTCATTGAAGTTTTTTTATTCCTCTCTTTTTGTTTTTTACTGAAGAAGATTTGTTACACTTTTGTCTGCCCCTTGCTGCTGTTCAAAGAAAATTAAATCAAAGTCCAGTGGGAAGTCTGGAGCTAACCAAGGGGTAAGTGAGGTAGGGGGAGGAATGGGGCTCACAATTACAATTATCATATAATGACCAAATATTATCAGTACCTGAAAGTTGATTAGAAGAGTTTACATGATTGCCATTTATTGGGTCTCTGGCTGCTGCGTCCAAAGACAATCACCTTCCTGCTTTTGTCAATAATATCTATTCTAAGCCTTTGTTATGCATAATGATACCAGCTGTTTCTATAAGATTGGTTAGATATAAAACAATGAATTGAGCAGGTAATCATCACATTCTGTTACATCCATATTGATTCTGGGGATCCCCAACTGTGAGTATTTCTGTACAGTGTGGCTTTCCCCGATGACCTCTGGCCTCCTCCATGTGCTTCTCTCAGCGGTTTCCTCGCAAAGGTCCTTGCCCATGTCTGGTGTTTTTGGTGCTGCATTCCTGGTGTTATGGAACCCTAACATATCTAACTTTGCCCACACAGTTGTATACCTCCCTGTACTACTTTTGGGTCATGCACATACAGGAAATTTGACTTTCTTTTGTTGCATCTCTCGGAATATACTCATAGAAAATAACAACTAGGACAGGGGCATCAAAGCGGGACAGATACAGATGAAGAATAGACAGGACTGTTATGTACACTGTGAAAACATAGTTGTAAATATAAATATCAAATAAACATATATAAGCATAAAAAACATAACTCAGTGTGGGGTTTTTCCCTTTCCTAGTCTGAAAATGGGTGTTTCCAGCATATAATATGATTCATGCTTGGTTCATTATACGTGTAGTAACTTCGCAGTAATGCTGTTTACACAATGGCTGGCGGTCCTCACTCATCAATGAGTGGGCAAAATTAGATATGTGAGCCAGACAATTTGAATAAAATCATAACTGACACGGAGTAAAACCAATGAATTGTGTTTGGATGCAGCTCTCTAGATTTCATTGGTCACGTTTGTGGACCAGCCCATATTTCCTAAACCAATTAATGGAAGTTAGTGTTGATTGCGAAGGTCTTTGACCAATCATGATCCTGGGTTTCCCAATGGGCGTGTTTTTGTCATGGAGGGGTGGGGTGTTCGAGGTCATTCAGTCCCACTCTGATCCACTCTATCGGCGTGTGTTTGTGGGGACGGGTAGTTGGAGTAGGAGTCGCCGGGCGGCCGTGCATCTCAAACGATTTGTGGGAAAGAAACGCCAATGAAAATTGCACCACAGGCTGAAGAAACGACCCCCACTGACGACTTCTGTGAAATTTTTCAACGTGACGACTGCGCCACACGCACAACCAACAAACGCAACCAGGCTATCAAATGCTAGTCAGCTAGCATCTCTGAAAACTGACGGGATCAAGGTGTTTATAGCTAGCCTCCCAGCTAATTATCCATCAGCTAGCATCCTCCTGCCGTAGCATCATTAGCTTCGTTTTCCTCCTCGCGCACGTCGAGACTTCCCCCATTGCTCGTGGCGGTGCCTTTCAGCTGCCGACCAACAATCCCACTTTCAGACAAAAGCGGACAACGGAGCCTCCTAACTAGCTGCTGCTGGAGACCTCGTCTGCGTTGCATTAGTGTGCCCCATCACACCCATCATCTCCCCAACCCTTCACCTCTGCCCCTCTCCCTCCACCCGAAACACTGGAAATCCACAACCGGCCGGAGCGGCCGGATAGCGGCGAAGGGCCAGCTAAGCTGGGGGTGGTCACGTTACCGGACTCCCCGGGAGTCCTACCGGCCACAGAGAAGCTCAGCTGTGGGGAACTACCGACCAGTATGGACGGGCTGGCCGTGGAAGTTCGCGGCTCGAATGGGGCCTTCTACAAGGTAACCTGGTTACAGTCGTAGTTTATAGTTGTCCCAGTTCAAAGTTTTGTTTCAGAAAGAGCTTCTAGGTTTCGTTTCCCTGAGCCCGGCGCTTGCTTAACGTTAACTATTTGACTGATATTAGCTTAGGTCCAGTTTTGACGAGAAGGGATGGTTTTGCGTTCCATGAACGTTGGCCATTGTGGGGTGGGTAGCTAGCTCCAGCTAGCTGTGAAGCTAGTGCACTTGATATCCCCATGTATGGCCTATATTTGGTTGTTTTTAACAAATGTCAATACGCGCAGAGGCCATAATATAGGAACCAGATTCCTACAGTTTTTACATGGCATGCAGCATTTCTCATAGCATGTTGCTTTGTCTTGACATGTGGTATTCAAGCATTTAAAAATGAAGCGATTTGCTAATCAGACAGCTGTTGTACAGGTATGATGAGATGCTATATCAAAGCTCACAGAGGCTACCACATATCTGTATTGTCCCTTAATAACCCACGGTCCAGCAACACAACGGAATCTTGGGTCTTCTGTGTATTGCTCTGCCAAAGAGGAACTGAAGTTTCTGTTTCAATTCTGCCTCATTTTCAAAATAATTTATAGTTTTATATCTAGACACGACTTCAAGTCTTTATTGCTGCTGTGTCACCGCTTGTTGTCAAACATCACATTAAGGTGGCAAATTGGTGACTGCAAAGTTAATTCTATATGTTCATATTATTAAAAGACATCTTACATCAGTCGTACGGATTTGGGTCTTGGTGAACATTGTAGTTTCTCCTATAATTTGAGATTTCATCGAATATGTAAACTCCATTAATCCTCCCCCTGCTTTCTAGTCTTAACCAATGTGACATATCATATTCTAATGCTCTTAGTTTTAACACATTTATTTCTCCATGTGCTCTTCTCCGCCTTTGGGTGTTCAGATAATCGAGCGGCCACATGGTGGTTTAGAGATGAGCCTATATTTACTCCCCTCATGGGGCTTCACCTGTCGTTCTGTTTTACAGGGTGACAGTTTGGCTCTGGCATGAATGAACTCTCCCACTCCTCTCTACTACCTCCATTATCTCACAGCTCTCATTTTGTGGATGTCAATGAGACGGCCATTTAACTGTTAGCGACATTCTAAATGTCACATTCCAGTAAATAACATGTTGTCTTTGATGGGAGGGAGTGGAGACAAATCTGCGTTGCCTTTTTCCTGTTGTGGTTGACACATGGAGTAAAATGATGTTTGCTGTTTGAATGCTCTTCATTCACCTTAGTGCCGGTTTGAGTCAGTTTTTCCTTTTTAACTATGGATCAGGATCATATTTATGAACCTGTCAGGGCAATGCAGCACCTGTAAGGAAACTGGCACTTTGTCTTGTGTAGCCTAACGTCGGCATCTTTTGCAGCAGCAAGCATGTGACAGGCAAGCTGATAAAAGCCTAAATGAGGATTCAAACAATTTGGTATTCTGTTAAATGCAAGCAATTATTAGTTTCCTTTTCTTGGCTGGGAATCTTGCATCAATAAAGATCTCAGGTTTTGCACATTTATTTACATTTTATTATAAGCAGGGCAATCAAATACGCTTATCTGATCACAATAGCTTTTTTTGTGGGCGAGGAAGGTTGCAAACCTGCCTCCTCTGCTCCTAAAGGCCCCGCTCACCACGTGGACTGCATGTGGCTGCTGGGCTGAGGACGAGGGGACATCATTACGAAGCTCTCTGCCCCCACCTTTCCACCAGTCATGTCCCATTAGAACGAGGGCTTGCCTGCCCTCTGACCTGGTATTATTTGGTGGAAGCAATACTCAACCTGACATAACATGCGGCCGTCTCCTAATGTGACCTCTGGAGGATGAGCCCCTTTTAAGTCAGATCTGTGGTCAATGCTGGGTTCTTCAGAACCGTTCATGTAGATACAGAGGCCTGTTTTGACCGTCTCAGGACAGCAACAGGTTGTGACTGATAATCAGAGTTGTAGTCAAGAGTGGACTGCTTAACACAGGGTGTAAAATCCCAATGTGACTACACACACTTTCCCCCATGATCCAGGCTGAAACCCTAGCCAGCTCTTGCAGTGCAAAGGCAGCACCTTGCCAGCAGGTGAATCCACACCCCCACTCCGACAGCCACACATGCTTTCGAGATACTGCCTGACCGTTCTGTCCCATATACGGTAGTGTCACACCGTGAGACATGCCACACCCACCACTTTCCTTCCGTCTCGTCGTTGCCTGGTGGTGGGTGGGTGGGTGGGGTTGTCGGTCAAAGTTTAGGGCATGCTGTGACAGATTTGTGGATGGCCATGATGGACAATGTTAAAGTGATCTCTCTAGTAGTAGTTGTCTCTGGGCTATCGCATAGTATGTCCATGTAGGCTAGGCTGAGTGAGTGCCCTCATGAACATGCCTCTTGAAAAACTACAGTATTCCCACTTTGAACACAAAGATAAAGCTCATGCATTTTAATATTGTGAGTGTGTGAGAGAAAGTCCCAGGCTGTCTGTGCTGTCAGGAGGAGTCAGTGTTCATCGTCACTTTATCCAGCACAGAATTTACAGCCAGAGAATTGTGTTTGTGATGAAATGTCTCGGCTTCCAAAAAAGCCTCAGATGCTCTTTTTCAGCAACAGTCGCAGTATCGGTCTAAGCATGGCGTACAAGTCAGCTGTCTTAAGTTGTTTACATGTAAAATCAAATGCTCACGGCCCCACCCTTCATCACTGTCTGTCTTGAGAATTCATGGGAATAAAAATCTGTCTCTCTGCTTCTCTCTTAGGGTTACATCAAAGATGTCCACGAAGACTCGCTCACAATTGTTTTTGAAAACAAGTAAGTTTCCTCTTTCTGGTAACGTCTCCTGTACGTCTGCTTTATGGTAAATAGTCCGTACACGGGGAAATGAAGCTTGACCGGTAGTAATGGAGAGTTACGATGACTGCTCCAGGCTTCACCCACACATTCAAAACTGTCCTCTTCAGCACCTGTGCTTGGCATGCAGCTGTCCATACATGTCTCTAACAGTTTTTTTTTATTTTTTTTTTACCTCCTGCTCTGATAGCATGTACTCATAGCCCCACCTACTGTCCCTTTCCACTACCCACCCATCCCCCTGGTCCATCTTTATCTCAGCTTGTAGAGCAGGGTGCCCCTAAAAATAGGGACCCGCGGTATGCAGGGTTGGAGGGGTGGTATGATTCCCTTTCGCCTTTTACTTTCTCTGAGCACACAGAGTTGTTAGAGTAGCATATTGAATATAATGAATAACAATAAGGCTCTTAATGAAAATTAGAGGTTTGTTTTTTTCCGATATCAATACTGACTGAGCCGGTCATTGACTGAACTTTTTTGCACTCTTTTTGATCCATTTTCAAGTTCTTATGTAATGTAAAGTGCATGATACAATGAACATAGTCACTCACTGTCCAGACACAGTGTTTAATAACCCATTTTTATTTTCATTAAGTCTGTTCATGTTCTGCACAGTGAGTGGGTAATACACCATGTCTTTACAATCCCAATATGACATGAGGGTAAAAGGAGCTCGAGCTAGACAGCGTGAACAACGTAACCGTATTACGTTTTGTTACCGCGAGTTGTTGATTAGCTGACGAGTGTTTTTGTTTTGTCTCTGTCGTCTTGCCGTAGCTGGCAGCCAGAGAGACAGTTGCCCTTCAGCGACGTGCGGTTGCCTCCTCCAGCCGAATACCACAAGGAGATTGGTGAAGGAGAGGAGGTGGAGGTAAGACCATCCACCTGAGTTTACACTAACCTCATCACTCAAGGCCTCACCACAAGGATCATTATACAATAATTATAGTATTGACTTTTGACTGACTTTTCCAGAACATCCATATGGCCTCTGAATTATGAAACATCTCAAATGAAACTCTTTAAGTATTGCTCTTACTGTAAAACGTCATCTGGGATGTGACTGATTAAAAGCCGTTTTAAATCTGGATTTATTTGGTGCTTTTGACCACGATTATTTATTATTATATGCATATTGAACATATTGAAGTTATCGTCTGGTGTTAAAGTTGAGGAATATATTACTTGCATTTTGTACAATGAGTCATAAATTGTAACTATAGAAGTTGCGCACTTGAGTCAACACTTTTCCCTCACATATTCTGCATATTCTCCATGTCACACAACAGTAGTTGGTTGCACAATATGTATGCATCCGGTCTGCTGTTTTGAAGTACATTTACTGTGTGGAATAGTTTCATTTATTTTTTGTCTAATTCACTGTGTATCTCCTCACAGGTTTACTCGAGGGCCAACGAACAGGAGCCATGTGGCTGGTGGTTGGCCCGAGTCCGTATGATGAAGGGAGAGGTAAGTAGTTCCATGAACCAAGGAGCATAACTATTTAAAAAAATAAAAAATAGATTTAAAGAAGGGGGTAAGGGATACTAAAAAACTATAACAGTAAACTCTATTCAGAGCCATGTTGTTCTTTGTCTTAATGGTGTTTTCAAATCCCTTTTCCCCCTCTGTATGATGATAATCTTCACAGTGCCTTGAATGCGGTGGAAACACTGCACTGAAGGAATTGGTAGTTCCTGAGTTTTAGTTCCCGGTGCTTAAAAGGTCCCGGAGCTATTTAGTTGAAAATGACGAATATTAATATTGTCAGTGATGAGATCCAACAAGGTTAGCTTCCTCTGGATCTCAATATTTAATATATAGCTATTATCTTTCCCTTTACCATCAGTGTTTTGCTGTATTGACAGTAGCTTTTTATTGAGCTCTGAGTACTGCTGTATTGAGTGAATACAAGCCTGTAGTAGCTGCAGCGTAATGAGCTCAAAGAGCCAGTATGTCCTGATGTGGTCTGACATTGTGCCTTCAAATTGTATTCCCATGCACCCTGTGCTGCTTCTTCTCACCGACTTCTCATGACAAAATGGATTTGCAACCGGCTCGGTCTAACGGCACAGTTGACGTATTTTTTTTTGGATGTTTCTAATAACCGAGAACCGGAACTGGCTCTTGGTCACCACCGGCACGAGCTGCAGGTTGAATAGTGGGTGAGTGGGATATGGCAAAGGACAGCGTTGTAATGCTACTGAGCCACGGGGAGCTGCTGCTGGTGTAGTGCTGTTATTTGGAGCAGTCTGATAAGAGCCTGCAGGAATGTCTAGCATTGACTGATGGCTTTAATTCTGTCCTTTTGAGCACGGAGTGTGCAATGTTCATCTCACTGCCTCACTCTCTCTGGGCTCCCCTTTTTCTTTCTCTGCATCTCACTCCTTAACACAGAAGAAACTGGGAACAGAGTGTAGTGTAGCTTCTTTTAATAGATGAATGAATGTATTTTTGATGTGACATATGATTTCTTAATTTGAGAGCGGACACCAATTCATTTTTAATCTGAGAGCGGACGTCAATGAATCTTTAACTAGACTGCTGAGTCAGAGTTTTTGTATGGATTGAATTCAGCAGTGCTGCTCCGTCTATATCTTGGCATGTGTTGTGTTTTTCAATTCACATTGGTTATCTGGGCTGGCCAACATTCATGTGTCTTGACATTTCTGGCTACATTATTAAAAATGTGTCTCTCTTGTGTGCCGTTTTCAGTTCTATGTGATAGAATACGCCGCATGCGACGCCACATACAACGAGATTGTCACAGCGGAGCGCATCAGGCCCCTCAACCCCAACAGTCCTTCCTCTCGAACCTCCTTCCACAAGGTCCCCATCCCGATCCCAGAAGACCTGAGGGACATGTGAGTGTCGGGTTCACGCCCTGATGATAGATTTATTTGAATAAACGTCAGCATTGCACCGAGCTCAATAACGAGGCTGACTCTCCTGTGGTTTATGTTCTTATCGACAGCTGTGAAAATGACAACATTCACAAAGAATTCAGGAAAGCAATCGGAGCCAACTGCATCTTCTACAGTGCCCAAACACACGAACTCATTGTGCTGGTTAGTAGTCAGAATACACACTTCAGCTGGGTCTCACCTCATGAACAAGGGAATGGCCTTGTTACACATCCACAGATGAAGAAATGATGGGAAGGAGCTATAGTGACTCTCACTTGTTAAAATCTGAAAGGGGTTTTCTGGGTATTCTTACTGTTACATGTATATTTGAATCCAGCTAATGTCACATATATTTTCTCCTCTTCCAGCCTTTCCTATTTTTTAGACAAATACAATGACAAAATTGTGATGGCACATTTTTGACAACTTTGTGACTCATCAAATACAGTCATATTCACAAAAACTGATCAAACAATTGTTGATGAATTGTAACTTTACCCTTTTTTTTGTCCTCTTCAGTCTACAAATGAAACCACAGTAAAGCGTGCGTCTCTTCTGAGCGACATGCATTTCCGCAGCATCCGTACCAAGCTTATGTTAATGTCCCGCAACGAAGAAGCCACCAAACATTTGGAGGTAAACCTACTCTTCTTACGACTACATCCTGTCAAATCCACTTAATTTCGCCTGTACGCGTGGATGTTTGTCGTTGGAAAAACTACAAACCCTAGCCAACCATTTAGGCTTGGTTTATACATTTGCACACAAACCACCTATGTGTTTCCCCTCCCAGACCAGTAAGCAGTTAGCATCAGCGTACCAGGAGGAGGTGAAGGTCAGGGAGGACCTGATGGGCCTCGCCATCGGCTCCCATGGTGCCAACATCCAGCAGGCAAGGAAAGTTGCCGGTGTCACAGCGATCGAGTTGGAGGAGGAAAGCTGCACGTTCAGGATCTACGGAGAGGTACGCCGCTTAATGAGCTTGTGTGGTATTGTGTGTCGGTTCGTGTCCCAATGTTTGGATAGATATACTGTAGTGTAATGTGGTCTAATGGTTGTGTTGTGTTGCAGAGCCCAGAGGCAGTAAAGCAGGCTAGAGAGTTTCTAGAATTCAAAGAAGACTACTTTCAGGTACCCAGGAACCTTGTAGGTGAGTGAGCTACATTCCTGAGGGAGCTCATTTTGTCCCACTTGACACACTCCATGTCACAACACTCTTATCATCCTGACATTCTATTCCGTCCTCTTTCTCTCTTGCACAGGCAAAGTCATCGGCAAGAGCGGCAAAGTCATTCAGGAGATCGTGGACAAGTCGGGCGTGGTCCGTGTGCGGATTGAGGGAGACAACGACAAAAAGCTTCCCCGGGAGGAGGGAGGCAGGCAGGCGGCAAGCAGGGACGACACTGCCGGCAACAAAGAGGTGAATGGACCGAGCGACTGGAACTCAGTCCCCTGAACCCCCCCCCCTGCTCTCCCAGGAGCAAAGCGTATTAACTACAGCATAGTGTAGAAGTCCCATGTGCTGTCTGCTGTTCCATTCTGCTGCTTTGTGTCTTTTGTTTTCTCACTAGCACTTATGTTTTCATTGCTTGCAATAACCACAGCCCACTGCACAGCATATGTTGGCTGTGTGTGGGCTCTCAGCTGTCTGTTGTCTCTGATGGCTTGATATGTTTCTGTTGGGTGTGCTTCCTGTGATGTTTAAGCACACTAATCACACCAGAAATTGTTTGTAAATCACCACTTAAAATGTTATTTTCCTACTTTGTTTCCTACTCAGGGATTTCTCCCCAATAATGGGCGTCAGCATTTATAGTGATGAGTGTTTGTTTTTTAATGAGAAACTCTTCTTCTCCCCCTCTGTGTGTTTTTTATCAGGGCCTGGTTCCCTTCGTGTTTGTGGGAACTAAAGAGAACATCAGCAATGCTCAGGCTCTGTTGGAGTACCATGTGTCCTACCTCCAGGTGAGTGAATCCTCCACGTTCCCCAGTAGATGGCGGCACTGGCTGTGTCTCTGTTCCTGTCAATTAAAAACACTTCAGATTTAAAAAGACCTGCACATGTACAGCATTTGTCTTCTGTACATTGCAGACTTTGATTCCATAAATGTGTTTTTGCTCAGAATATCTGGACACTTAGTTGAGGAAAGATGTTTCTTAGAAGCACATGTCCTTTATGCAACATGTGTTGGATGAGGACAGGGTGCTGTGGGCTTATGTGTAGGGTCATTTCATATTGGTCATTCACCTGTCCCCCCCCTCCCCCTCCCCCCCTGCCCAACACCACGTGAGGAGAGCTGCTGAGAGTGCCTCGTTTTGCCCTTACCTCATGCGCTTTTATAAATAGCCACTCTCTCTGGGATGGGGTGAAGGGTACGCATGAGTTTAGATTACCAGCTATCTGGACCCTCAGCTTCCAGAAATAACTCCAGACCCCCTGCCCTGTGCCTCACTTCTTTCACTCTTCCCTTGAGGCTCAGCTGTCGTTGGTGGAGGCAGCTGTCACACCGTGAAGTGAGACCCTCTCCTCCAAATCACCCACCACTAAACCACCATAGAAACTGCTGGCATTGCACTGCTGCCATTAAGAGGCCAAAGCCCAACCCCTCATCAGGGAAGATGGCACATGCTGGAAAAAATTTTCATACTTTTAAAAGATTTATGTCCCATGGGCAGAATGGGACCAGCAAAATGATATTAAGCAGCTGGAGAATTGTGTGAAGGACGACTCAAAGTGTAACGGTCACGCATCACAATCAGTTTCCATTGTCAACAGTTTTTCCCATTTTTAGGGTTCCCGAGGCAAAGCTTAGCAACCAATTGGGCTATTCAATGCGTTATAAATCTGGTCTCTGTCCAAAGAGATTAAAAAGTGAAGGGACAATCTATACAGTGGTATTTCACCTCCATTGTGTCATTCAAGACACATCCAGAAAACTTCAGATGTTCTCTAATACCAATAAGTCGTTCTGAACCTCGATCCCCACAAACCAATATTTTCACTCTGTATCCGTCAGAAATTGGACGGTGTTTCAACAGAAGACGGTTATGTTTCAGGTTTTTTGGGGGGGATTGAATTTGCCCACAGTCATATCTGGTCAGTACACTGAACTTGACGCATTGCTGCCACTTAGTGGTATAGTGATGTAATAACAAGCACAGAGCCAGCCCAGGCCCACAGCAGAGGATTTTAAGACCATGGCTTGGTCTCAATAAATCAACCATGTAAAAGGTCAGCAACAACATCTGTTATTGTTATGAGTAGAAAGCACTTTAATACTGCAAATTACTTTTTGTAGATTTAATAATAATTCTTGCAAACATCCTTGATTGCATTGAAGTATTTGCAATCCTTTTTTGGTCCCCACACATGTGGCTCATCTGATTTTTAAAATAGCAGCATGTGTCCTTTGTCTGAAGTGAAATCTGATAATGCCTGTTGGTCAGATAATCTGTGTACAATGGAAGCTCTATACAGAACTTTTGGCAGGCTGCATTATTTTTGACAAACTGGAAGTGGCCCAGGTCACCTTGTCACCAAGGTGGCTCAGGAATCTTGTTTAATTTATGATGAAGATGCAATATAGAATACATGATTGGTGCCATTGAGGACTCACTTTGATAACTGTTATTTATATGGTGGTTTGTGTTGTGACTTTTTCTGTTTATTAACAAGCGGATGTCAAGGTGTACTGTAGGACAGGAGGCAGGGAGGAGGGGGCACTTTGTTGAAATATTTCAATGAACCGTGTGCAGAGGAACAGGCTATGAAGTGCACACAGTCTACATTTGTCTCATCGTCCCTGTCCTGTAGGAAGTGGAGCAGCTGCGCCTAGAGCGTCTCCAGATTGACGAGCAGCTCCGTCAGATCGGGGTTGGGTACCGCGCACCTGCTAATCGGACCGGGGGCCCCGGTGTCGAACGGGAGAAAGGCTACTTGACAGATGAGAGCAGCAACTCACTCCACAACTCTCGTACCTACGGGGGCCGCGGCAGAGGGCGTAGGGCCTCCAACACCCAGTACTCTGGATATGGTGAGAACGAAGGAGCTGATATAAAGAATGGAAGACACATCTGTCGTGTAAAAAGTCACATGCTAATGTTTGTTTTTACATGTCTTGATCCAGGCACAAACTCTGAACTGTCCAATGCTTCTGAGTCGGAGGAGGTTAGCGAGCGAGAGCAGCGGCCCCGCGGCATTGGCGGAGATGAGAGAGGCTCCCGACGGGGCGGCAGGGGCCGAGGCTCTAACTCAGGACGAGGCCGCGGAGGGCCGGGGTCCAAGCCTTCCAACTCCATCAGCTCAGGTAGGTACAGCCCATGTTCAGGTTACCATCAAGGGCCCTTACATTTCACCTTTAGTTCACTTAGGATGTAATATGACCTTAGAATAATAACATGAGAAACTACAACCGAGTATGGTGCTGCTAAACAGGTCTGGAAGTCTTTCCAGGAAAGACGGCTCACCTGAGAGTCCGGGGTAGATTAGTTGTGCATTGGTGAAACAAAAGCCAGTATCAGGTGGCTACAGGAGATTCACAATATGGTTTTCAGTCAGACAGTCTTTGCGTTAAATCCAACGTAAATAAATACTGTTAGTTGCAGTATGGTTGCAATACTAACTTTCTGTGGCATATCCAGTGCTGAGGGATCCAGACAGTAACCCATACTCCCTGCTGGAGGGTGAGGGAGAGCTCGCTGACGCAGACACCAGTGACGGCGTGGGAGACCGCCGCAGACGCTCCCGACGCCGCCGCAACGACCAGGAGCCCAGCGTGATGGACGCTGCCACGGAGTCGGACAGCCAGGCTGGCCCCAGCGAGAACGGACTGGGTGAGAAGAACCTTAGTGTTGTACTCTTGTCTCTGTTGTATTATTGTCGAAACAGAAATGCACATTGTAAATTTCTGCAATCACAACCAGAACGCTTGATGGAAGCAGAAATTTAGCACGGAGACATAACCAGAGACGGTAACCTCTTGTTTCCTCATTTGACTGTTAGATGATGAGGCGCGACCTCAACGCCGCAACAGAAGCCGCCGCCGTCGTAATCGTGGCAACCGCCCAGAGGGAGGTTCAGCCAGCCGTGACAGACAGCCCGGTGAAAGTGGTGAGTCACTGGGTTTCACTAGTTAACGTTTTCCTCTTCAGAATGAACAGGATATGATTGCTCTCTATTGGACGTCTTTATTGCTACAGAGTTGCTGACAGCCTTTCTTAAAACGATACCAGGGCATTTTGAGTCTCTGGCTTCATGTACGATACAGCTCGCCCCCTAGCGATTGTTCTAGCTAACACATCTCAATGTTTCCAGTGACTGTTGCTGACTACATATCCCGTGCTGAGTCCCAGAGCAGACAGAACCTGCCACAGAAGGAAAACCACGCTGGCCCCGAGCCCAAGGTACAGGCAGGAACACACGTATTGACTTCAGCCTCAGTTTTATTGATATAAGTCAGATTCTCACCACCCCTCTACCACCCGCACACACAGGAGAACGGGACCAGCACCACTAAGGATGAGCAAACGCCCTCCAAGGGTTCCCCCAGCAAAGGCATGACCTCGGCCAGCGAGACCCTGACCTTGGTCAACGGGGTCTCGTAAAGAGACGGCTCTGCTCCTCGCGAACCCAAGTCTAGAGCAAGACTCCATGGCAAACTCTGTCCCTGCTTGCATTAACTTAAACCTTAAACAGATGAGTGAAAAGTACCTGACAAAATACCTGAATTCATACTATGAGAGTGAAAAAGTACAAAAAAACGACAAACGCATCTACTTAAAAACACACGTTACCGGTGTATGCTATCCTATCTATCAGTACTTAGTGCTTATTTAAAAAAAAAACAAAAAAAAAAAACCTAGCTTGCCAAAAAAGAGCTGGTGGATATGACTTGATTTTTAAAAATACTGAAATACGAGAAACAGGACGAGACTTTTTTTTTTTTCTTTGTTTTTGAAACGGTTGTCTTTATTTGTGTATTTTCGTTATGTTAATTTCGTTCATTGTTTATCACTGGTTTGGACTTGGCGGTCGCTCTCTCAACCAAAACAGACGCGTCTCTTAACAGTGTTAAAGTGCAGACTAGAGAGATGTAAGCTGCAGGGAGCGGCGTACAAGCAGTCCAATAGCTTATGTGACACGATGTCCGCACACTGAACCTGGGTGGAGACAGACAGACTGGGATATGGATAGACATTGTGCCTTGAATTTGAAAAAAAAAAAAAAAATAATAAAAAAAACTTGAGTTTTTCCAGTTAAGTTTGTTTTTGTTTCCCAAGAGGAAGAAAAAGAGCGAGGTATTCTATCAGGTTTTTTTTGGGATGGGGTGGGGGGGTTGAGAAAAGAACAGATGTGTGAGGGAGTGAGGAGTAAAAGGAGTGAATAGAGGATACAGAAGAGGAGAGAGTGGCTAGCCAACGCGAGGCAAAAAGAAGTCTGGTGCCAAACACGAAATTCAAGGCGCTTGTCCTCATTCCGTGTAGAATGGACAGCGTAGGGGTCAGTGCGTGCGTGCACGTACATACGTGTATGTGTTTGTGTGTGCACAGTTGAGATATTTGGCAACCACAGAACAAAACTGGGAGGGGAGAGGTAACAAAACGTAAGGCAGCCCTGGGCGGGTCGCACGGTGAGGCGTCTCTACTTATCGACAGGCCTGAGGGGTGTCTTCCTCCTCCTACCTGTTTGAGGTCTTTTGAGGGTCCAGGGTGGCTCCCATACAGCCTTGTAAAACAGGACAGGCGGAGACCAGACCGACGGCAGACTTGAACTATAGATTTAGACTTAAAGAGAACTATACCGTGCCTCTTTCTCAGTGTCGGAGGGGGCGGCGGTGCTAGCTTCCAGCCACACTAGTGTCTTGATAAACCACTGCAGCGCACGGCTCCGGACGCACACGAGGGCGACCACCTTTCTGGGACGGGGCGCTGCTAGTTGGGGGGGATGGGCCTGGACACTGCGGACTGTGGGGGAATTGGGACAGCTTCAAATGACATGAGAGCCACGAGACACAGGTCCACACTCGCAGGACACATACATACACACCAGGTGCGTGTAGGTTGACGTGGTCGCCCGCATGGCGCAAAGTAGAGGTCGGCAACAGGAGAACCGGGCGAAACGAGCGAGGTGTCGGTCTTGTACCCGGGCGGATTGGGTTGTCAAATGGGAGTACGAGAGGAAGTCGAAACCCTCAGTGGCTCTCTGCTCATGTTGTTACTGTTGTCTTGGTTACCGCTCAAGTTTTTTTTTTGTTGCTATTTCCACATCTTAGAAAAAAAAAAAACATGAAATAAAAAATTGAAGTGAAATCAACCTATTCTCTGGAGACGAACTTTGATTTCTATGTCTTGTGAGTTTGCAGTCTATTTTTCTAACGTGCATGGCCTTTAGTTAACGAGTAGTAGGTGGTGCCTGTCCTGTGCATGAGGAAAAGGTGTTTATTAATCTGACTTACAAAGCCATCGTTTCATTCACTAGAATTGCTGCTAATGTACACATTGAATGTCCAACTAACGTAGAAACTCTACCTTGAAGAGAAACTATTTGTGACTTCAAAAACATTTCGCCCCCCCTCTCCCTCTCATCTGCCCAGAACGCCCATGTTTTTATCGATGGATACGAGTCACAAGTTGTCGGGAGTCTCACAAAGTATTACATTTTACGAGGGCAACGTTGTGCATGACACGCAAGCGTCCACATGACCAAAGGTTTTGGAGAGACAGATGAATGGGAGTGTGGTTGAGATGACCCAGATGCTGCTGTCATACATTTCTGCTCGCCTGTATGTTGTGTTTTTATTAAAGAATGAACGAGTACTTGAGTATTTGTACCTTGGTTCAGTCGCATGTGTGTGAGTGGAGGACCGAAGCCCCTATCTGGTGTGTGTGTTTACCTTTATACCTCATTGTGTGAGTACTGTATATCCTTGTGTATCTGTACCCCTTGCGTCCTGTTGAAAGACTGGTGTGTGTGTGTGTGTGTGTGTGTGTGTGTGTGTGTGTGTGTGTGTGCGTGTGCGCGCGCGCGTGGACGGATGCTGGTTGTACAGTCGACTCCTCACTCTTGTCAGATTTTGTCTCTGGTTTTCTCACTCATGTTCTGATGGCAATAAAGGACTTTTCATTGTTTGGTATACATCTTTTCTGAATAGTTTGTTCTTTTTATTATAGGCCCAAACGCTGACACAGCAGCCAGAACAAAAGTTAATTGGAACTTTTTGCATGACAGACTCGCTAGTATGAATTATACAGCAGTCATTCAACTCGTCACTAGTGTCAAATACTCCTTTCCAATCAAAAACGAATATAGGAATGTTCTTAACATGCGACACTAGAACACAACAGGAGAAGAGCAGCAGTGAGGGAGCCCAGTAAGAGGACGGTGAGCACTGAAGCTCCAGGGCTGCATGGCTGAGACACAGACCCAGTGTACATACTGCATCTGTTGGCTGGGTGCTGCTCCAGCAGTCACAGCTTTATGGCAGCATGGTAAGCCATTTGTTGAAAAAGATAAGGGTGGAACTCCAGGACATCCGACCACTCACTCACTCACTGTTGTATTCCTAGTATAATCATACACGGTTCATCCTTACCGTTTCCTTAAAAGGTTACTGTGGAGCTGGGGGTGAACTTGTTGCAAAGGAATGTCGCATCCTTCAGGAATACTTTTCAATTTTGCTTTTGGGATTAATCTGAGAAACCCCAGCAAATGCTGTTTAGGGAGGATGCACAGATCAAATTCACTGACTGTTAATACGTGATCAATGATATTCTTGTTTGCTAAATTCTGACTCAATGAATGCTAGACTACTCCACAAAAAAGCAGGCATGTTGACTTCAAATGCTATTTATTTTCCCTAATATGGTTATTATATCTTAGAATATCATAAATCACAGGTAATTTCTTTGTGTATTTTGACTGATATGGATTTACTGGGTTTGTAATTTCCCATCTTACTGAACCTTTTTTTATCAGTTTATCTTGCACGTGTTGAATGTGCCTGTGTTTTGATTCTGAGTTAATATTGAGCCATCATTTTCCCATCCTATCCTATCCTATTAGAATCCAGTAGAGCAGGAATATACTGTAGCTCTAGTGTATTTTGTGAAGGAGGGCATTCAGTAAAGTGCATTAAGCTGCAGAAACCTAACTTGAAAGAAACCCAGCACTAATGTAACTTTGCATTTCAATGAAGTTCCATTCGCTCACTAGAAGTTGAGATGTTGATAAGACGGAGAGAAGTATCACTTTACCACACTAACCTTCTGTAAGCCAATACCATGTTACAAAAGATATTCCAGCACTTATAATATATACACAGAAATCTAATCATACTATAAGTGTCATCACGATTGTCACTCGTTTCTTTCAACCATGCGCTTTTTATTACAGTGTAAAAGGTAAGTTGTCATTGATTCTCCACTGACTGAATGCACAACTACATGACGGTCCAGTCCTCGCACTTCTTATGTGCAGTAGATATTTATGTAACGTGACAAAACGTAAAGAAAATAAGTATATGGCGTCAATCAAATTATAGATTCACATGCTATGTGGAATCACAACAAGAAAAATTAAAGTACGATAATACATGATTTATGCACAAAGTTTGAAAAAGTTGAAAGCAAACTTTTCGAGCGAGCCGCCATGATGAAACGCCTTTTCCGCATAAAAACGACCCTTCGTGTCTTTACCCAATCACAGTCCGTTGGTTTTGAGCGACACGTCAATCCACCAATCGGATACCTACGTGTGCGTTTATCGCCAGCTGGTAATCCACTGAATCATATCCTGGGGAGTTTCGACTTCGTTGTGGCGCCGAACAGAAGCAAGATGTGAGTAGTTTCGTATATACGCCTTTCTCTCTTCGTCTCTTTTATTACCACTGTTGTTTCACATGTTTTCAACCGTAACTGCATACAATACCAATGGCTGAACTGCATTGTATTTGGTTACGTTCACATGAGACAAAATGGCTAACTGAGCTAATGCTAGCATGCTAATAGAAACCATTCAAAAGAACCGAGCCTGGCTAGCAGTTCCCTGACCAGGAAGTGAAAACACCAAAACTTCTTCAACTTAAGCTTTTTGAATAAGTTAGCTATGAGTAAAGTCGTTCAGCTTCTATAATAACGGTTAAAGTTTGATAAGGACAAAGGTTACTATAGTTTATTGTTTTAGCCCGCATGTCGTCTCGATTACAAGCTGTCTATTTCCTGATAATGACGTTACGGATCCACCATTCGCTCTCTCACTGCTTACTTGCTCCTACTACATGGTGGCCTGTGTTGTCTCATGCTGTTTATCCCTCTTTTAGAAAAGTACACTGGAGCAACCATGGTCAAGATTTTCATTGGGAACTTGTCCCAGAACACTGGGAAGGAAGACGTCGAAGCTCTGTTTACCCCGTTTGGCACAGTAACAGAAAGTGCCAAGTTCAAAAACTATGCATTTGTCCATATGGACGACCGAAAGTCGGCCACCAAAGCCATCCGTGAGCTCCATCTCTATAAGCTGGACGGCAGACCCATCAACGTGGAGCCCAGCAGAGGGAAGAACCAGGGCCCCGTGAAGCTCCACATAGCCAACGTAGAAAAGGGCTTCGATGATGAGCTCCGGGAGCTGTTTGAGGAGTACGGCACAGTCAAAGAGTGCGCCATTATCAAGAACTTTGCCTTTGTACACATGGCCAATTCTGATGAGGCCATGGATGCCATAAAGGGCCTGGATAACACAGACTTTCAAGGTACGTACATTTGATATTCTACTCCATGAATGAAAGGATTGGAAGTTTTTTTTTGGGGTGTCCATACTTGTTTGTGTTCTGCCTTTTTTAGATTTGAGGGACATTGATTTTCTCTCTCTCAGGAAAGCGCATACACGTTCAGGTATCAAAAAGCAGACCCAGAGGTGGGCCCGACGAGGAGGAGGACTATCCGCCTCCGCCAAGCAGAGGCGGCTATTATCCTCCTCGCTACCCAGGGGAGAGGCCCGAGCCTCCCTACAGAGAGCGCATGTCCGCGTACGCTCCTCCGCCGCTGCCTCCGCCGCCCCCTCCCCCGAGACGAGCGGCATATCCCGACCGTGGCTACGGCGAGCGAGAAGCCTACGGGATGGTCGATTACTATGAGAAATACAGAGCCCGTCCTTACAGCGTGGGGGGCTACGACGACAGGCGCTCCGGTGCCAACCCCCCTCCTCCGCCTCCTCCCTCGGCCCTGGTTAGGGAGCGCCTCGGAATGGGGGGCCATAACCCATACGAGCGCCCCCCACCGGCTCCGCCGTCCTATATGACCAGGGACCGAAGCCCCATCAGGCGAGCCCCCCCTCCGCCCGCGATGTCGGCTGGTAACGGGTACCCCTACGAGCGGTCCCGGCTCTCCCCGCTGTCCAGGGCTCCGATGTATGCTGCGCCGATGTACGGGACTCCCCGACCCAGGGACCCCTACTCAGAGGGGGTGGCGCCGCCGCCACCACCACCTCGATATGCAGGCTATTAAGGCCACGAGAGTGTAATTCAAGGTGAGAACAGAGAGTGGATGTTCTTGACATAATGAATCACATTAATAAGAAGTAGGCCTGATAACGCATCTAAATATGTACCTAAATTGAATCGAGCTGAATTAAGTTGAAATAGAATCACGTTTGAACCCATCACCATCAGCCATAGCTCTTAATTCTTGCAGATCTAGTCCAGCCAAGAGATCAATATACGACTTAACATTGCTGATAGAGTCCTAATATATTGTTGCTTTAACATCAAAGATCAGCCTTGCGCGAATCCTGACTAAAACCCGCTCCTTGACATGTGTGGTGTGCTCTCTTTCCAGGTTTAGAATATGACAAGATCGTCGTCTGCTGATGTACGTGGCGCTATACATCCCCCTCGTCTATGGCGGATTGCGTTGCGTTCGCCTGAGACTTACTGGAAGATACTGTATTGCAGACAGCCCCATATTTTAAAAACATGATTCCATGTCTACCGTTCACGTATTTTTCTGAGCTGTTCATTCTTCTGTTCCTCTTGCTTGTTTTATTGTTCAAATCATTCAAGTGTTTTGCAGAATAGGATGCTGGTTTAGGTGCTTAGTGTATTTCAGTGGGACGCAGTACTGTTAATGGCCAAAATCCCTCTGCTCTGCACTCTTTCGAAATAGACATGGCCTCTGGTAAACAGTCATCATTTCATAACAAGGGAAGTCACACAAATCTAAATATTTTTCTAAATAATTCAGTGTAGAGGCATGACGAGTCAAAAGTTCCAGTGTGGTTTTGTTCTTTTTAAACTTTGTGTTCTCTTTTCTTGCGGAAATAGAATCTATAGCACCCTTATGTATGATTTTATTTACTTTACAAGTTGCTTTTCATTTGAAGGCTTTTTAATAAACGAATCAAACCAAAAACTCCGTTTTAACTGTCAAATTCTTCCTCGTTGGGTTTAGGCCTTTTTAGTCTGACTCGGCAGGCAGCCGCCATTCACCAGACCAGTTATACTTAGAATACCCAGCCGTTAAACTCTTAACTCGCCTCAGAGTTCTCCTCTTGACACATGGTGGGTGATGCTTTGTGTGCCCTGTTCCGTTCCAGTGAAAATGCTGGAAAACGCGTGAGATCTGATTTTTGAAACCCTCAGCAACCGCTGCCTACCGTGTGTCAAGCCGATCAGTGGTTCTCCTAGAAGTAGAACAAAAATCACCCGAGCTTTGCGACGGCTGAACTTTCTGTCGTCTTGCGACAATTGCTCTCCAGTCTTGATTTGCATCTTTCATTTTCTCTGTCATTGAGTTCACACTACATATCAGTCCCACTTTCAGTTATTGTCTTTAGCCTCAGCTATATATTTATACCACAAATGGCATGCAGTGTTGGTGTTCTTAGTATTTTTGCTCTTTGTAGGTTGTTAGACTCAATGCAGGAGAGGCCCGCTCATGGTAAGTCCTCCTCGGAAGATGTGCAGCATCCAGTGGAACAGAGGTAGGCCCCCTTTAAACTGGTACTGAAACACTTATTAATGAGATGCACGTGTCTAATGGCTCCCTCTTGTGTTTTTGCATTCATACTGCAGTGTTCCCATAAAACTTAACTTGCAAAAAAGCGTAAAATGTATTTTTATTTTTCCGTAAACAAGTGATCCTGGGTATGAAGTAATGATGAAAGATGTGTTGAGTGGGATCTCTTTCTCCAGGTCTCTGCTCTGCCTGCTGTAACCATCTTCTCTGAACGCTACGAGCTGGGAAGAGATGGGACCAGACGTCCCGGTAGTTAAAGGTAAAGCAGTAAGAGTTCACTATGAATTCCTCAACAGACCTGTCAGTTCTGTGAGCTGGAAGTGAAGGTGTCTTCCGTTTTCGTTTACAGGAAGTGTGTTTTGTCCCGCAGTGAAAGTTTGGTCCTTCGGTTGGGGATCTGGAGGGAATGTCCAGTCCTCCGAAAACCTGCACTGTCATCTTTTTTGTCTGCAGTTGATGACGCCGAGGAGTGAATTCAGATCAGTCCTACGGGTCACATCTTGTGTTGATTCTTATTGACCTGAGACACCTCAAACTGACGGGGGTCCCTCTAACCAACCCTCTCTACCAAACTGATGAAATTGAGATATGGCTCAACATATTAGTTTACTGAAATTCATGCATGACTATTTACAAAGAAGTTGTTTTGCTATTATCTTTATATTTATGTCCATAAACTATTTATGATCCTAAAACGTCATTTATTTTAGGTTACTGTATAAAGGCAATTGCATGCAAATGTTTGTAGCACTTGATTTTTGATCAGACTTTTTTAATACATTGTCATTTTATTTTTAATATAGATACATTTTACACCTTGTGGTATTCAGTATGAAAAGTTCAAAACATGATGAACCTGAGTAAATAAACATGTATGTTTTCTCAAAGTTGACTCGTTTTATTCAAACCATCTTGCTTTAAAGAATGTAAACAATGTAAAATGGATGATATACTGACAGATTTTATCACAATGTAAAGTGATTTATCATAATTATCATTCCCAGATAAAAATGGATATCTTCCATCCTGGACAAGTAAGCGGCTATGGATGGATAGATACTATAGTTAAAACAAGACGAATGAATCTGTAAATGTCTCAAAGGGAAACTGAAAGGAATTTGTTATTTTCTCTGTTCCTTTTTTAGAGAGAGAGGGGTGGGGGGTTGTTTGCTCACTGAAGTTATTTGAGTTCAAATGCGGCTTCTTTTAAGCACCCTCCCTTCTTGCTGGACTCGAGTTTCGGAAAGTCCTGTGTGGTGTTTGGAGTGTCGTCACCGTGTTGATCAGAGGTCCTTTTATAAAGCTTTTATAGGGCTTCCTGGACCGGTGTACGCTGCCTGCATGAAAACCCTCCACCGTGATACCTGATATGACTCTTGTCCTTCCTGAAGCCTGCTACTGTTACCAACTACAATAACCACGCTCGTCTGCTTCCAGGAGGAGATAAAGATCTCCCGTTGCTGCCCTGCTTGTAAATTATATTAAAGATTGTTCAGTGAGACTGGACTTTGTTCTAAGACTTAAAAAAATAGCAAACAGGTTTTCCCGAAACTGACTCCCATCTGTACATCATGTCACGCTGAAACTGATTAACATGTCTGCGCAGTCTGCTCTGAAATAAATGGTGGAGAGTAACCAAGTACTTAAGTACACTGTTGTGGTACTTGTACTTTAGTCACGCAACGTTATACTTAATTCCACTACGTTTTACTTTTAAATTTACATTTTACTCCACTACATTTATTTGGAAGCTATCGTTACAACCAAAATAATATTACAATACTGCTTTCAAATGAATGTGCCAGTAATAATCTACCTAATCCTACATTATATGGGAGGTTTTACTGAAAGGAATACTCGATGCATCTTCCACCGCTGAGTGAGACCAAACGTGCACAAGTATCCAAGAGTTTGATGCAAAGAGAGGTGTGCTTTTTGGTTGAGAACTTTTACCTCAAACAAATCTGAACAAACCTGTTTCCGAAAAGTTAGACGCCAGATTATCAAATCTGTGGCTGATGAACAGCGTTTAACAAAAAGACAATTTAATGTGCTCAAGTTGAAAATGTAGAAACGGAACAGCTTCAAGAAGTTACAGGATTTGCTCTTTAAAAGTAGCCGATATATCAAGATCACAGCTTTTTGATCTATAGACACAGAGTAATATATTTACAGTATATATGCAAAATAATGCTATGATTTCACATTACAAAGAGGGATTCATCCTCTAATGGAACAACCACACAGTAACCACAGTATCACTTCAGATACAAGCCAATGACAAAGTAAAAAGTCACAACATCACGAATAACACGTCTCATCACTCTCAAGGGGGCCAAGCAGGCCGACTCTGAGTTCTCCTGGGAAACTGTTCATCACACGTGAGCCTGTCTCCACGACGGGTGTCATACTGGGCACGCCTGTGCACGTCTCCCTGGACGGAGGCACTGCCAGCACCTCAAAGTCCACCTCGAAGCTCCCCTTGGCCTCGCCGGACTCACGGATGATCAGCATCTCATACTCCCCGAAGCGGACCAGGGCCTTGTCCGGGAGATCCGTCCTCTCCAGGTAGCCCAGCTCGGAGCTGTTCACCGACAGCCGCCCCCTCTGGCTCAGGTTCTGGATGGTGAACAGCATGTCTGGGCTGTGCGGCGTGCGGTAGGTGTGGAGGGCCAGCTGTTTGCGGGACACCCGGACGTCGGCCAGGGCGAAGGTGCAGGCCTGGGCGTCACGTCCCAGCCTGAGGGGGTCATCCGCCGAGCGTCTGCTCCTGGTCCCCAGAGGAAGCAGCCCGTAAAGGCCCTTACAGCTCTGCTGAGGGTGGTAAAGCTTGATGTGGAGGCACGAAAGCAGGTCCTCCTCTGTCTCCATCGTCTGGGACACATTCATCATGGAAGAAAAAGCTCCTGAAGGGAATCAGGACCAGATTGACCTATTGACCTTCTGTGATGAAAGGCTGCTGGGACAAAAGAAGAACATATTAGGAATCCAGTGAGATGATGTATTTACCAGTCCAAACTAATGTAAAGAAACATTACTTGTGTGTTACCTGAATGTTGAGGTTCTACTTTAATGTAGAAGACGCTTTGACTCCGTCCACAGAGAAGCTAGATAACACACAGCGAATCACTCAGAGGAGACTGACGGTGCTGCTGCTGAGAGAGACTTCCTCCAACTGCTCTTTGTTTTCAAGCTGCTGTCTTCCTCTTCTGAGTTTCGTCACTCTCACAAGACCCAGCACGATGCTGCCTTCACGTGCAAATCTGGGAAAAAAAAAAATCATTGTTGAAAATTGTGTACGAGGAAAAGCAGTTGTGAAAAGAGGGGCAAAAAATATGGATTTTAATTTAATTTTGTTAACAGAATGTGGACATGGAATTTCAGTCCAACACTTGGAGAAGAAATAAGAACGTTTAGCCATTTCTTCACTCTAGTAGCACATTTAACACGCAACTGCAAGTTATGTGGACCACCAGCTCAATTCACAAATATTTTTGGCAAATGAAAAAGTTGAAACAATTCACTCCATAGGTTATTGGCTACACTTAAGTGTATGAATCAATCAGTTAACTGATTAACAGACAATTAACGATTCATTTGATTATAAATGAATCGTTTTTTATTAGGCTAATCGGCAACAATTAACCCTTTCAAACTTTTGAAAGGGAATAAGCTGATTTATCTGTTTTGTATCATTTGAAGTGAATACATTTGAGGTTCCGGCTGTTCGGACTGAAAGAGTGAGCTAATATGCAGATGCAACTTTGAGTTCTGATTGAATTATGCATATTTCATCATTCTCTGGTGTTTAATAGACTAATTGTTGATTACAATGCTCATTTTTTGAGTGCACTAATCAAAAACACCGCTGTTCTCTAACATACAATTTTAAGATCAGCGCTTGAACGTAGCATTACGACACAGAAAATTCCCCGAATGATGCAACGTGAAAGACAAAGGGAGACTGCAGTTTCAGTTTATATACACGGTCGACCTTTTTCTTGCCACATCTTCAGAAAAAAACCATTGCAACATTACCAACCATACAGGGAAACTATAAGCTCTGCTGTAAAAATAATAATAATACATTTTATTTGTATAGCGCTTTGAAAGGTACTCAAAGACACTTTACATGGTAAAAACAGAAACAATAGAAGTAATTATAATAAAAACAAAATAGACACCATAACAGTAAGGAACAACACGGAAAAAAAGAAAAACATACATAACTGACTTTACAGGTTAAAAGCAGATTTAAATAAATACATAAATAAAACTAGTGTTACATATGAACACAGGGCGATTGATTAACAGAAGGTATTTCTAACTTCCATTCGTTTAGTTCCAGGTAAGCTAATAAAGTAGTAAAAAGTACGATACAGAGTGAATGATTAACAGCATTTTTTGGTAAAAAAATGTTGTTAATCATTCACTCACTATTGTCACTCTGATAATAAACTAGGGCATAACATGTTTTATTGGCTCGTTCTAAACTTTCTATTACATACAGAATTAGGGAAACATATATGTGACGCATAGTCATTCGATAAGCACACGGTAGACTATTTGTTTTCTAAAATCCATAGCATGTTATCTATATCGTAATAAGGCTGATACGACAAAACAGACGAAGAAGAAGGAATCTCCCGCCCCACTCTGCCTCGCGATTGGCTTACCCTGATGTATTTACCCTGAACCTAACCAATCTAACCGAGGAAGGCAACGAGTTTTAGCCAATCAGAGGCAGAGTAGGGCGGGTCTTTGATTATAGCAGTAGGGTAGGATGTCGCACAGCGGAGAAAAGCTAAGCGGAAGTCGAATCGGTGTAAGGAAAACTCTCGAAAGCGGTTTGAATTATTTGTCGAGGCCGCCCGATATAAAGGTAAACTTAAATGTACACACCTGTGTGTTGATATATACAATTCGCTGCAATAAAAAAACCGTAACATATACTAACCTGTAAATGTTATTCAGCTCACCGCTATACGTTAGTATGGACAGCGGTGCTTTGTGTGATACCGTGGCTCCACTGCCAAGCTAACAGCTAGCACGAGCTAATTAGCTTAACCAAGGTCTGGGAATTCCACACATTAGCATTATAGCGATAATAACAATCGAAACGTTTTGATATCAAAATAAATTAACGTTTGATAACTTGTGTTAAAATCCGTAAATTGAGGCTAGTTACCTGCAGCGTTAGTTAAACTTACGTCCGCCATTTTGCAATGAACAGGCCCGTTTAATTCAATTCAGTATCAGAGAAAATGATTTAGGTATACAGTTAGCTGTTATTTCGCTTAATACCACAACGCTGAATGTTCAAACATTGTGGGTGCAATTTTTTAATATGTTCGTTTTTATGCTCCCCAACCATAAATATAAAATTTTCTCTCATTTGCTCTGAAACAGATCTTCAACAATGGTGAAGATCTTTGTGGGAAACCTGCCCCGAGAGGCAGACCAGGAGGAAATCAAGGCACTCTTTACCGAGCACGGCACAGTCACAGAATGTGCCATCATCAAGAACTACGCCTTCATCCACATGGATGACCGCAAGGCCGCCACCAAAGCCATTAAGACTTTGCACCTCTACAAGCTTCACGGCACACCGATCAACGTGGAGGCCAGCCACGGGAAGAACCAGGGCTCCGTCAAACTGCACGTAGCTAACGTAGAAAAGGGCGCTGACGACGAGCTCCGTGCTCTCTTTGAAGAGTACGGCTCAGTCACGGAGTCTGCTGTAGTCAAGAATTTTGCTTTTGTACACATGTCCAACTCTGACGAGGCCATGGATGCCATCAAGGGCCTGGACAATACTGAATTTCAAGGTAAGAAAACGGTCATGAAGTAAAATAAGTAACGCTGTGGTCCTTTTAACTTATTAAACCAATGTTTTTTTTCTTTTATCTGTGTTTTGTTTTTTTGTATTTAGGCAAACGCATCCATGTCCAGATTTCTAAGAGCCGTCCCAGACACGATGAGCGTGATGACTACCCTCCTCCTCCAGACAGGGGTGGCTATTGGCCCCCTCGCTACCCGGGAGAGAGGCATGAGCCTCCCCCGCCCAGCTACATGAGAGGCCGCCTCAGCCATATGCCCCCAGGTTACCCTGCCCCTCCTCTGCCACCCCCTCCCCCTAGACGAGCCGTTTATCCCGAACGTCCCTACGAGGGTGAGAGGGAGCGATACAATGTGGTAGATTACTATGAGAAGTACAGAGCCCGTCCGTATGGCATGGCCGCCTACGAGGACCAGCGTGCTGGCGCCCCTCCTCCTCCCCCTCCCCCCTCAGCCGTCGTCCGAGACCGTCTTATGCCCTCGTCGCTTGACCCGTATGAGCGTCGTCCCCTCCCACCACCCCCGTCCTCGTACTACGCCCGTGATCGCAGTCCCCTAAGGAGGGTGCCCAGTGCGCCAATGCCGCCCGCTAATAATGGCTACTCCTACGAGCGATCTCGACTCTCTCCGGTTTCCCGGGTCCCGGGATACGGAGTTCCACGCGCCAGGGACCCCTACGCAGAACGGCTGCCTCCGCCACCACCTGCACGCTACGCTTATTAAGCAAGGCCCAGGCACGTGAAGGTGAGAATAGGTCTGAGGTAGACTGGTGTTCATATCTTCTCCGAAACTGCCATTCGTCCCTGTAAAGGCAGAGGCAGCTTGTCACTTGTCCTGCACGCTCCAGCTGTTGTGGGGGAAAAACAAGGTTTGAAAAAGCATGCGTACGAAGTGCTATTCAACAAGTTGTAAATGCGTTGGCAATGCACGTCTGTGCACTCACCTGGAGTTCAGCTAAACTTAAGGAAATAATATTAATTCTAAATGTGTGGCATAATCCGACAAATACAAGCTTTCGACCTGGGATCTCTGGCTGAACGGGACTCGATGCAGAACTCCACAAGCAGATAGTTGAGATGGAACAACGTGCTTTGCATCAACAGTTGCAGACAGTTCATTTGTGTCATTTGCTCTTTTTTCAGGATCGTCGTCAACTGCGTCGCCGCTCGCCGCCTCCTGATGCACGTGACACTATCCTCTCCCTGTCTGTGGCTGAGCGCGTTGCGTTCCACTGCGATGCTCACAGGAGGAACCGAATTACCGACGCCCACGTCTGTTTTTTTGTTTTTTATTAATTTGGGACAGTTTTTACTCGTCCCCCCCCCCCCTGATTGTTTTAGTTTGTCATTGTGCTGTAGTATTTTTTATGCTTGACGTCTGAATTAGGCGTTTTTTTTTTATTTTGTACATTTACGTTAAAAAAAAAAATTAGTGTACTGATGTTGTGTGTGACCTTAGAAAGCTGACCACTTCAGCAACAGTCTAGGCGATACTTGTGACTGTAGATTTAGCTGAACTAAATCATGGTATTAAATCTAATCTGCACGTTGGTTCCATTGTTACGCTTTCCCATCGAAAACAAAACCGCCATGTGGCGTTGCTGTGAAAATTCAAACTGCTAAGACGTATGGGTTTGACAAATGTAGAAAGTAGCCGTTAATAGGGCGGTTACCGCAAAGCGTTCACATGTACTTGTCCATTGTCGAACTTGTTTTTAATAAACGGATTTGTGCAGTAATGTTGTTCTCGGATGTGCCCAAACTCATGCCCAGCGCTAAAAAAAACCTCATCAGTGTAACCGCTTGAATTGATTCGAACAATCTAACATCTTCGAAAGGATCATCGCCTATATTAAATCATTCTACGTTTATTTGTGATATCTCGTACAACAAACTAGCTCAAATCGTTCCGCTGATCTAAAAAACATCTCTCCTGGTCTTGTCTGGAATGCTCCAGCTTTCCTCGTTCCCCAGCGCACCTTTTAACTTTTCCCCTTTTAGTGCCGAAATTGAGGCTGGCTCACATTAGGGCTTAAGTGAAGAAGGGCGCAACACAGTCCTGCCATTCTCCACCAGGTGAGGTTGTGTAACTGGGACTAGTTTATCTTGACTCGGGGGTGAGATGACATCAAAGGCTGCTGGAGACCTTCAGAGTGAACAGGTAAGTCGAGGGCCTCAAGGACCACTGAAGCAGGAAGTACTACAGACAGCGCACGCTCACATTTACCTTTCTAGATTATTATTATTAACAGTCGACACACAGCTATCCACTCAGCTGTGTGTGTGTCTATCCTATCTATCTATCTATCTATCTATCTCTCTCTCAAAAAAAAGGAACATTCTACACTTTGTCTTGCAGACATACATTTATAAACTGATTTTACACAAAGAACTTAAATGGATGACAAATTGACAGTACTTTGCATTGAGTTGCTGTTTTGGAAGTTGAATGAATAAAATATTTCAATCACTAACAGTGTCTGTCCACTAATGTACTGCCAGTAATACTAACTAGTGTTCTCCTCATTAGCATATTGTTACTGCTTTAATGCATTGTTTGTGATTTCCTTTTAGTAAAGACTTGGCTCGTCCCGCCCACAGTTTATTGGACCACAAACCTTTTGCATGAGGGTGTATTCACAATGTTACTTCAGTATAAATATATTAACTTGAAAGCAGGGACACAGTAGATCTGGAGGGTGGATGGCACTGGTTGAGAGAATGGTTGATTTAGTTGTAAAACACTGAAATATTTGGTTATCGCAGTCCTAGCCCAGGCCCGTAATACTCGTACTTCTAACGCTCACCCTGGAACAAGCACATGGAGAAGTCCCTCAGCTTAGGATCAGTTAACGTTTTCAATATTAGTTTTAAGAGTTTCAGTGCTGTTAATGGAAAATACTTTTTCTGAAGGCAGGCCTTTTTATAGAAATATATGTACTTTATTTTTTGTAAATATAGTGTTCTGTCTGGGTGGAGTTTGGTCTCCATTTAAAATGTTTTACTTTCATTCTTCCTAATCTTCAGAGGCAGTGAACATGATCACAGCAGTTTATTCTGGCCTGATAAGAGCATTGATGTGTGGCTTTAGTAATTGACCACATGAGACTATCACCCCACAAGCTGGATTACATGATGTTTATAGAGAGCTGATGAGTTGTTTGGTTAAGATATGTCTAGTCCAGAAAAACACGTCCATTTATTGAGTTGGGGTGTGTTAAAACTATCCCATCATTGAAGAATGTATTTGAATGGATATTACTCCAAAGATCAACAGGTCTTCATTTTGTTTGGTTATGATGAAGACCAGTGTTGTGTTGAATATTGTTTCCCTGTTAAGTGTTTCCCCCGACATAAACCTGAACCATCCCTTAACCCTAACCGTCACCACGAGGGGGACGCTATTCTACAAGGGTACAGACTTCAACATAACACCGGTCTTCCTGCGGTTGAAACTTTAAATCTAATTCACTGACGGCACCGTTTATCACAATGAAAAAAAACAAGCAGGGCATCAATACTAACGCGTGACCTCTATACTGCATGCATGAACACTATCAGCTGAGCTCAGACCACACTGCTCCCTGTCACTCACTCCACTGCTGCAGACCTCCATTCAAGTGATTGTATCACCTTCTGACAATCAAACATGTGAGGGGAGACGCCCCAGGAGAAAAGGGTAAACCGTTATATACCACCATGAAACTTCACAGTTTATAACTTGCACTGAGAGAATCAAGTTTTCTGAAAATCTATATTAACATATGCAAATAATGTATTATCTTGTAAAATATGTGCTAGTTTGCAGACACTTCCAGAACTGAAATATGAAGGTTAGATGAAGACAGGTTCTACATTCTAGTTTCATTTTGTTGACCTATTCATATAAAGTCAAAGGATTTTACAGAACACATTTTGGATATCTCTCTTCATCACTTCATGAATCAGAAAATACAGTCAACAGCCATGAAAGAAATACTTGTAGGAATAAAATGTTCTATAAATCAGAATTATACATGAACAAACCCCTCTGTAAAAACCTTGAGAATATAGATCGGAATGAAAGTGGAGAGGTTGGAGTATTTATAGAGATTTATTGCTCAGAGTATAAGAAACAAACTCATTTTAAGAAAACAGCCTTTATATGTATTTAAGAAATAGATATCACCATAAAACTTTACCTGTTGATCTTTTACATGAAGACAATTATTTCTTGTATTACAAGGTTTCTTAAAATGTACGTGTAAACATTCAAATGATGGATTATTTAGGAGAAATCTACAGACTCATGAAGACAAAGTAGTAAAATAAAAACCTAAATGTGTATTTTGGATGTTTTCTTTCCACCAGTCTGAAAGAAAACATGTAATGGAAGCAAAAGTGCCCAAAATCTCAATATTGACCAGAGCATGAAAAACAATATTTTTGCCCGAGTGTCCCCACTTCAAAAAGAAAAGAAACTAAATAAATCTTAATCTGGAAAATGTTACTCGTAATGCATTTTGGTAAACAGGACGTTTTGGAATACTGACTTTAAAAAGAATGCCAAAATAAAATTGAATACAAGACAACACTCATCAAGAACCTGCCTGAAGTTTCTTTCGACAACCGAACCAACGACGGTAATGCAGCACCCCGTTTTCCCCGACCTGCTCCAACATGTTTCATGATCAGGGCTCATACAAAAGCTCGACATTTTCCATTGTTGCACCATTTCACCAATCACGAGATGCCGAGATATGCAAACCAAGCTTTACATTCTGGTCGTGATAACCGTGTGCTGGTGGGACGAGGCTTGTATCTTGAAGAGAGCGACCCTGGGCCAAACGCAGAGGTCAGAAAGGTCGACCACCTTGATAAGACATGGACATGAAAATGAGCATTTGAGTAAAGTTTGAGGTAAAGTGTGGCCGTCGCTTACATTGTGAAAGTGGGAATGGTTGCATTTGAGGCTGTGCAGCATCTTCTCCCCCATTTCAGAGGTTGAGAGCTCTCATGATACAGACCCAGACACCGTTACGATGGTGATGTACTGTGTGGTACACACTGCGCTATCTCTTCCTGCCAAATAAATGATGTGTTCCTGTTTGAGATATGCCAATTTAATCAGATGGATTTTCTTTTTTATATGGTTGAGATGACAGCTACACTTCCCCATCTAACTGTCACTAAACTCTCACCATAAGAGAATCTAGACGCTAGGAGCGGATAAAGAAGTGTATGAGCATGAATAATCAGCATGAATGAGAATATTGTCACAAGAATCTCTGACACAAAGTCAAAGTCTTCTAAGTTCTTAGTAACTTTGACACTATGATGATGGTGTGATAATAAAACATCAGTTCCAGGTGCTTCCTGAGTCTATCTGGTGGCTGAATAGATAGTATTTGTCTCCTCTTCATTCTCTGATGCAGGCCGGTGGTCTCGTCTAGTTTTCGGATGAAAAGTCACTGCTGCGTAGTTCAGCTCCTCTGAGCCCTGGTTCTGTGAATAAGAGATAAAGACAGTGTCGTGATCTGACGAATGATTCGAAGTGACTGTGGTGCCTGCTGATAGACAAACAACTCTGAGAACGAAACGTAATAAACGTCACCTTTGTCTGTCGTGGATTCTGTTCTTCAACACGAGCTGAACGACAGAAACAATCTGTTGTGGTCAATTCATAATGATTGCTGTTGATGCATTTTGGTAAATAGGAAGTTGTGGAAAAAAAGGATGTGAAAATGCAATAAAGTTAAGAACAATTATACCTTTCTGAAGCTTTTTCACTTTAACAGCCAGACCGATGATGACCGTAACAAGGAGAACAGTCGGACCGACCCGGATCACACTCACCAGCTTTGCTGTTTCATCAAACACTTCTAGAAGAAAAACTGTTTAATAAGACCCTGAATATTTAACCTGTAAGTGTTTGAGATCTGATTAATATTGATGGACAAAAATGCACAGCAGATTTGTTTTTATGAAGGAGGAAGAATTAAAACAAATGTAAACTATCAATACTATGAATTTCACCAAAATGAAATGTGCAGTTGATAGTTTCCTTTTAAAATGCCACTTCAATCAAAAACAGACCAAACATTACAACAATCTCACCTTGAACCTCTAAATATGTTGCATCAAAAATAACTGGGTTTTTGCTGATGTAATATCCACAGAAATACAGTCCACAGTCGGATGAATTCACTTGTTTGATTTTGAGGGAAACAGGAGAGATGTTGGATCTCATTTCAAATTCTCCATTTCTAAATCCTTCAGCGAATGTAGCCGTCTCAAGAGGCTCGTACATGAAGGAGATGGAGCGGGGCTGGGATCCCTTGACCACTCTGAACCAGAATATCTGAGTAAGAGAAGTTGAAAAGTTGGAGCACAGCTGGTGACTTCTCCACCAGCCTGGACCTCCACAGTCTGACACTCAGAACCTGAAACAGAAAGAGACAACAAGAGATTTACTCTCAATTAAACAAAAGGAACATGAACATTTCCTTTAAATAAACCTTTAAACCAGCAAACAGTCTCAATTCCGGTGGGTTAAAGCTACCAATGTTATAAATTTGGTTGTACTCACAGAAGCTGCAGAGACTTAAAGCTGTTATCAAGGTAAAGTTCTTCATGGTGCGTGTGACTGAAGCTCCGCAACATCTGTAACTGAACTGTGCTCCAGTAAGGCTGCTTTCAACATAAAGAGGCGGGGAGTGTTTTTTAGTTTTCCATCCTGCTGCTGAAACTGACCACATTAATGCTTTCAGGAAATCAAACAACGTTGGCTATTAATATTAATATTATTATTATGTTATCCTTTAGACCATGTTATTTGGCAATACTTTTACAACTCAAGTTTTCAAATCTTTATGTACAAGTGTCAAATCCAATCCCCTCACCCAAGATTGAAGACGCACACTACTGTTATTAGTCTTGACCTTAGAATGGCTCTCAACTGTACAATAGCTCTGAGGTTGTCGGTAATTGTAATGCGATAAATATTGTCTGCACAGCATCTACTGAAAAACAGCACGCAAGCCACAAATACTGAGGTAACGGTCAACATCGTTATGGTGAAAGAATACAATTCTCTGTGTGTAGTTGCACATCAAATCCAGAGAGAAACTTGCTTCCAAACAATATTTGAGCAAATATGCTGATGAGTCTTGCTGTTGAGGTTCTACCTCCCCAGCAGGTCTAAAGTTCCTTCCTTCAACCACAGGCAAACGCTGCTCGCAATTTAAAAAAAGGGTTCACTTCCTGCTAGTGTGAGCTCACCAATTCTAAAAATAGCCACTTAGCCTTTGATAGTGTTGGACCCTGAATTTCCTGTACAATGCCAAGCTTCAGACCAAGAATCACAAGTCTGACCCTTTCAACTTGCTGCCTGCCTAGGACTGCATAGTTTTCCAGGGCCAAGCTTAGCAGACGCTGACCACATCTTGAGATCTAAGACGCCAACATCGCTTATAGTCATCCTGCTGTTCAGTTCTATGCGCGTTCGTGGCGTGGCCGTTTTCTCTGCCCCTCCCCTGGCCCCTGGACAGAGAGTGAGTCCTTGCTTTATAGTTAGAAAACAGGCTCAAGGAAATACTTCTCTCTTGGACTACACCTTGAAGACTCTCCTACACTTGGCCAGGTCCACTTTCCCAAATGTGTGGATCTACATGACAGTAATGCCTCGGGCAGCCTTGGGGAAAGGCCCAGGAATAACCTCAGGGCCCCCAATCGACTGATCGTGGCTTCTCCTAACCACATCCCCTGTCTCAGGCAGGAGGAATTCCATTGTGAATCAGATGATCTGTACTGGACACTGCAGCAAAGATGTGGAACCTTGGCTCAACAGTAAGGATTGCCCACTTGCCGGGGGGGGGGGGAGTAAAATGTCACGTTGGGCTAGTAAATCTTGTTAAAAAGAATAAAGCTTATTGTTTTAACCGGAGCCGATAATGGAGACGTGAGCCTTGTCACTTCCTTCTCATCTCTGTGAGGGTTGCACATGCGCAGTAGTGATAGGGCACTTGCAAAAAAAATGGTAGCAGGTAAAGACAAAGTTTATGAGCTGCAGCGCATACGCAGCAATATGGCCTGGGTCTCCAGCAGCGTGGTGTCGGTGTTGGACCGGCGGAGCAGTGAGGCGAAGCTCTTTTCCTGGCCGGAGAAGGAGACACTGCTGCAGGGCGCTGACCTCCTGTCTTCCTGTAAACAATTAAAGCGTCCCTCACACCCTCCTCCACTGTTAAAGACCTCCACCTAACTCCCGCTATAAGAGGCTCGGGACACGCTGCTGCTCCATAAAAAACTAAACATATAGAAAGAGATAATTAACAGCTCTTTATTGCAAAATCATATATTTTGGCAAGAGTGTTTATTCCTCTCACCAACAAGCAATACAAAAGCTCCAAAGCATATTAATGTGATGTATCAGTTCCAGTCGCCTCCAGAGTCTTATCTGGTGGCAGCGTAGATCACATTTGGCTCTGGCGCTCTTCTTTTTGCCTTTGTTTGAAAAGTCACTGCTGCGTAGTTCAGGTCATCAGAGCCCAGATTCTGTGAGAAGAGTATTTACTGTCTTAATGTGGTGACTTGACATGATTTTAATTTCCACAATATAGCTCACAGATGCTGGATTTTTGAGGCCGATACCCATTTTGATATTTTATTTTACAAAAAGATATGAATAATACGCTGTTGATAAGACTCCCTTAAATGTGTTCTTTAAAGGATTGTGACGATGTGTATGAGGACTTTTCACAGCTGAAAGCTACATTAGTTGGTGCTATCACAAACTATAAAAACCAGACAACTAATAAAATACCTCAAACCTAATTTTGCCATTTCTGCAATGCCACTTCTTGTTACTTATGGGCCCATACAACTATATACAAATACAGCATTATTTTAGGGATAAGCTAATATTAGCCGATACAATAAAGTCCCAGCTGTTTTTTTGATTAGGTTAATTTGAAAAAAATAAAACAAAGTATTGTATTCACCTCTGTTTGCTCTGGATTCTGTTCTTCTTCATTAGCTAAGAGACAGAAACAAAACATCTGGTCATTTCATTGTCTTTGTTGAACCAGGAGTTTAGACATTTTCCAGTGTATTGACACAACTTAAAGAGAATTTTCAGTTGCAACAAAACCTAACAAAGAGTACCTGTCTGAAGCTTCCTGTTTCTAACAACCAGACCGATGACGACCATTACAAGGAGAACAGTCAGACCGGTCAGGATCACACTTGTCAGCTTTGTCGCTTCAACAAGAAAGATCATTCAGTTAGTCTCTATTTTCCCTTTAAAGAATTGAGACCTGGTTACAATCAAAATGGGCCTAGCAGAATTTTGCTAAACAGTTTCACCTTTCAACATTTGATAGTTTGCACAATGATAAAACTCTTTAAGAGAATCTTACTTTTACACTTGCTGTCCCCGTCATCGTGTGGCTCTCGACTGCATTCTAATGGAATGAAGAGATCAGTCTCTAACGTGGCAGATTTACATCACAATTGTGATTGTGTTGCATACATGGAAATTCTGATAATTATCAACATATTCACTAATTAAACATTTTGCAATATAAGCAGAAAAAGACTTAACCAAACAACGGCTACCAAAAGACGCAAAAGACTTTAGACTGACCTTACCTTCAACATTTAAATGTATCACATTGAAAGTTAGACGCCCAGCAGCATAAACTCCACAGAAATACAGTCCAGAGTCAGATGAATCCACTTCTTTGATTTTGAGAGAGAGAGTGGTGATGTTGGCTGTCATATCAAATTTTCCATTTTCAAATCCCTCACAGTATGAAGCTTTGCTAACAGAGTTGAACATAACAGAGATGCAGCTGGCCTTGGATCTGTTCACCAGTCTGAACCAGAATGACATCGCATCATATGTGGATGTGTTGGCAGACAGCAGTGTGACTTCTCCACCAGCCTGGACCTCCACAGTCTGACACTGTGACACTGAGACGGACATCCAGCCTGAAACAGAGACAACAAGAGATTTACTCTCAATTAAACACAAGGAACATGAACATTTCCTTTAAATAAACTTTTGAATAGTGAATAGTCTCAATTGTGGTGGTTTAAAGTTACTAACGTTATAAATGCGGTTGTACTCACAGAAGCTGCAGAGACTTAAAGCTGTTATCAAGGTAAAGTTGTTCATGGTGCGTGTGACTGAAGCTCCGCAACATCTGTAACTGAGCTGTGCTCCAGTAAGGCTGCTTTCAACATAAAGAGGCGGGGCATATCTTTTAGTTTTCTGATCAAACTGACCACATTAATGCTTTTCGGGAAAATAGTGTTGACGCAAACGCTCAGCCTCATGAATACGAGACAAGTTATCTTTCACAAAATGTCATGACATCCTAGATATCTTCACACCAAAGTACATAAAATATAGTGATATACAAGGATTCACACAACCTCATCAAAAAGCTGAGATGTGTCAAATGTAAAGCTTCACAGCATCTTGACACTCTTTGAGGAAATAACAAGTTAACATGTTAATGCCTGGTAATATTTAGATGGATGATGTTATTTCCCACTGAAGGGCATACTGTACAGTATGTGCTGTAGTCAAACCAGATGATGAATTGGAAGCACAGTCCACTTGAGACCCTGAAAGTAGCTGCCACACATTGTGGCTGGGATTTGGCGAGGATCCTGTAGAGGCCACATGCCATGCTTTAGTAATGGATGCTGCGCTGTGTGAATGCTGTGTTTGGAAGCTGATATTCCCTAGAAACATTTGCGGATGGTGCTTGCGATGCTACAGCGACCATGCCATAGTTGAAAGTACCCTGCTTATTTGCCCGTGGATGGATGAACTAGGTGCATTATGGTGATATAGTATACATTAGTCTGCATCCAAATTGTTGTATTCAGTGTTGTTCTATGGACTGGTGATGATTACATGTTATAGTCCATCAATTACACCAGGGTCATAAAGACAAGGAAACATTGTGCAGTTGTGTTGGGTCAATAAATAGTGCAATCAGCCTTTTGTCATTGATTCAGAATGCCACCCAGTAATATTGTTCTGTCTTTAAATGAGGTAATGTGCCATTTGCTATATATTTCCTTGAAAAGGCATTCCCATCTCTTTATGGTTTTCATTTTTGGGTAACACAGTCAGTAGCAATCTATGACAAAATGATTTGCTTATTCTAATTCAATTATAACACCAGAAATTAACTATAAAATATTCAATTAAATTAATAAGTTCTTATTTTCGTTGGTATTTTTCTCATATTCTGACATGCAATGATGATTGCTGGCTAGTATGTATGTTGATGTCCACCGATATACAGTAACTAATTTTGTCGCAAAATCTGTCTGTGTGCTTCTTAACTAGTAACTAGTGTGCACTGGGGCCCGTCATAACTACCTTATGCCACTGCATTACACATATCCTCCAATAATCCTCCAAGGCCCAGCTCCCACATACAAATGTTGTTAAAGGGTTCATTCAGTGTCAACCTGTCTGAGTACCAAAATGCAGCTTTACTGTCTTATTTTTCAGGCGTTGTTTAAGATGAGTAAATACTCCCATATGTGGTTGTCTGAGTTTGTATATTTCTACAAGTCTGAGAGCAGCTGTTGACATGTCTCATGAAGGTCAATTAGTCCATTTGAGTGAAGTGATTAGTGGAAAGAGTGACATAATGGGTTGAAATATATATTGGAAACTTATTAAGTAGCATCATTCTTAATGTTTAAAAACTGCCAGGCCTTTGATGTGTGTGGTTATGGCTGAAAACCTTCCTGTGGTGGAGGCTTTACTGTTGCTATTATTGGGTGCTGGTTAGCATCTACACTTTGTCTTCGTCTTTCCTTTATGACCAATGCTAGGTGTTATACTCTAGTTGTTTATTTGTTCTCTTTCGGCTTCATTCTCACCTCAGTCTTGTTCAGACACCTCTTCTTCCTGTCAGATATGTGATGTGTACCTCACTCATTCCTTCACTAGGCAAGGTGATAGAAAGAGTTAAAGAAGCAACAAGACTAGAGACGTATCCGAAGCGTTATTCAGGAAAGCAAAAATAATGCGATGGGAACAGATGTTTATTCTCCCCGAAGTTGCTCGTTAATATTCTGGAAAAAAACAAGTCATGATGGAGATGTCTGTGCGTCAATCATGTTTCTACAAATTGATTCATATCATTGTCGAGATAAAACAAGATGAAATTCCCGTTCTATTTGCAACATAGGACTTTGAGTTGTATAACAAGTCCTTTCATTTACTGCAAATTATTGAAAAGTGATCGCCATATTCTGTAGTCGACACTCTGTCTTGTGGTTCAGACAGTTCATTAAACTGCGACATGAACAGAATGAGGATGTGGAGATATAAATCATAAATAACTATGTGCAAATATTGAATCTGTTTTGATGCTTTGAAGCCAAAAGCCAGAATACTTTCATCGGAATCTAAACTTCCAAGTGGACATGTGGTCCTTCCATGCAGTGTATTGGTCATCACAAACAAACAGATAACAGTATACTATACTATAACAAGTGAGATGTAAGTGTAATGTGAAAGTGCCGAGTATATTTAAATAAGAAACATAGAAGGGATTTGCAGGGGAGTGATCGGTAGGAAATTGTCCTGGGGATGACAGAGTCAGTGGGGGTCCCAGGCTTTGTTGATGAGCCCAACTGCAGACGGGGAAAAAGCTGTTCATGTGGCGTGAGGTCTTGGTCCTGATGGAGCGCAGCCTCCTGACAGATGGAAGGAGCACGAACAGTTTGTGTCCAGGGTGAGCGGGGACGGCTACAACCTTTCTTGCTCGATTCAGGGTCCTTGAAGCGAACAAGTCCTGGAGGGACGGCAGATTGCAGCCAATCACCCTCTCGGCAGAGCGAATGATACGCTGCAGCCTGCCCTTGTCCCTTAACTGACCTCACCAGGTAAATTGTTGAGCGTGAAAGGCTGCAAGGGCTTGAAATGGTATAAATATGAATGGGACAGCACTTTGCAACGGCATAACACGTTACCTTGTCGACGCCATTGCATTTTGATTTCAATTTATGTTTTTTTTTCTGTCTGATTTGAACTAGAGATGCACCGATACTGATATGGATAACGGATATCGGTTTGACACTGACTCAAATAGCTGTTACCTTACACATAAAATAATGATCCCAGTCACTTCCACACAGTGAGGCATGCAGCCAGTTGATTAAACACTGGTATCGGATTAGACTTCGGTACACAAAGCCCAGGTATCGCTATCAGGACGGTTGCAGTAAAAAGGTCGAGCTCCCACTTCAGTTTTTGGATGGAAACTTGAGTCTTTCAGAGTCCAGATTCTGCAAATAAGAATCAGAGAATACTGACAAGAGGATGTGCAAAAGCAGAATAAACAAAACCGAGGACAGTCCTCAGACAGCACCTGTCTGGAGTTGCATCATTCTGACAACAAGGCAAATGATGACCTAAGTGAGAACAGTCACAGCGCTCAGGATCACAGTCGTCAGGTTTGTTTCACCAGGCTCTTCTACAAGAAAGATGAGTCAATAAGATTCTATTGAACAATGATCAATATTGCCGCCCTTACATTGTCATGGGGGGTTGTTCTACGCTACATCTACTACTACTACTACTACAATGGTATTCCATAAAGACATCTATTATAATCTTTGATTTGCAGTTGGAGCAGCCCAGTTTATTAAGGCACGGATTCAAAGGTAGCAGATTTGTCAGCTCGACATTCTGTGAACCCCAGTAAGTTAAAACATGAGGTTCACCACTGCCTTTACACATGATGATGGAAAAATGGTTCACCGTATTTCTCTTATTTTGACAAGATACACATGTTTTCTTTGTGTTAGTAGCTAAATGACACTTAACAACATTCTTACCTCGAACCTTTAAAGATGTCGCACTGATAATTACTGTGTATCTGTTTATGTGAAATAAACAAAAATACAGGCCAGAGTCAGACAAACCCACGTGCATATTTTTGAGAAAGACAGCGGAGATGTTGGATGCCATTTTATATTTGCCACTTTCAACCCCATTGTCGAATGAAGCGGACTCACTGGAACTTTACATGGAGGAGATGCAGCGGGCCTGTGTGCTGCTGACAATTGTGAACCAGATTATCATGGTGGGAGAACTGGAGAAGTTGGAGCACAGCAGTGTGACAGTCTGAGACTGAGAGACTGAGATCGAGATCCAGCCTGGGACAAAAAGCAAAGAGATTTAGTTCTCAGCTGATAATGCAACAAACGGATAACAAGGCCCATAAACAACTGTGGTAACAGCTGTTGTCGATTCAGTATTGAACTAATGCCAGTACTTACTTAGGCTGCAGAGAAGTGTAGCTGTTATAGTGAAGCTCATCATTGTGCGTATCATCGTCTTATTGCAATGGAGCTTAAAATCGCTTAGCTCCAGGAAGGAGGGTTAAAGAGGAAGGCGGGTTTTTCTATGTTCATCTTGCTAATCACTGATTTGCTGATGATGCTGTTTGTTGTAATGCACACTCAAAAAAACAACATCCTCCATGCTGATGAATTGAAGACAGTCCTGCTCTGATCCTGTGAGTCTCTGTCTTTACTCTACTTTGATGAGGCTCTTGCTGTATCACCTTCTTCCAGACTGTTTCTGTTGAGAAAGACTCACTGAGCTGTTTGGGAATCACCAAATGGAAGGGGAGAAGCCCACATGCCAATAGATGAATGGTACATGGTCATTTGAGGGCTCTAACAGTGTAAGTTGTGTTGAGCTGGGAAGTACATTTGTAGGCGTCTCAGCTAAATGAGGATGACACTGTCATCTGGCCCTACAAGTATGAGGCTGCTCAAGGCACTTTTTCTGCAAGCAGGATGCTGATGTGGGTGAAAGAACAAAACAAGTGTGAGGAAATTGGTTAGTGTCGTCGGCAAAGAAGGGGACAGTTTGAGAAGAGATTGAGATGCTGTCTGATTCATCTTCACATTTTTAAAGAAAGTATTAAAGCTTTTGTTTGCTTGTGGTTTTATTGCTGAGAGCTGAAGGCCGGTCTTCCTGTGGCTTTCGCTGATACACAAAGTGTTCACCGCAGTGGAAAATGACAGGGGGGGGGGAGGAGCCACAAGACTTGTTGTTGCCCACATGTGCATGCAAACACAGCCAGGGCAGAAAGCTACCCCTCTGTATTTTTAATGTACACTTTCCCTTCGTCAGTTCGCAATAGAGTCTAAAATCTTTAAAAGTCAGTATATCCTGTCAATTTGAGGAAAATACAGTCTACCGCGATCAAAAGAAAACAATACAATTACTTTAATATTGAATCTTTTTTTTTTTTTCAAAATTAGATCTTAGACAAAGTGACCTTAATTCCCTAGGCTGATTAGAAGTGTTGGAGGCCTCACTTCTTCAGCAGACATAGCATCTCGATTTCTGTGGTCACTGGATATAAATCCGTACTGATGGAAGCCTAGATTTAGACTGAAAGTAATGACATGAACAGCAGTTATCCTTTAAGCTTAAGTCTAATGCAGGCTACACAACCTTTGCCACAAACACTATACTGTACGACATGGCTTGTAAAATAGGCACTAATGAAGTGTTAACACCTTTTCTTATTGTTGGTCATTAGAAGATTTTTTTGTCATGACTGAAGCTTTCCTGTGATGGAGACTTTTTTAGTTTTTGACTCATTTCCTCTGTACAAATACATTAGCTGGTTTTATTTCTTAAAACAAGCAGGTCAGTTTGCAGTTTGCAGTTTTCTTTATACTTTGCTACTAAGCTTTGACTTTAGAGGCCTCCTGACATTGTGTTAGTTGTGCTCAGGCCACACTCGGCCGTCTCTTCCTGTGAAGTGATGATTGGTATCTCACTCTCCATATGAGTAAGTCAGATTTGATCAAGACAGACACTTTTTGCAGACACACAATGCAATCTGACCATGAGCACAATAAATAGATTACCATGATAAAGCATCAGCTCTACAGTTACAGAGTCTTCAAGAGTCTATTTGCTGGCAGCATAAATAACGCGAGTCTCCACTTCTCTCTCGGATGCAGGCCTCCAGCTTCTTATTGACTTTGGAAGGAACCTCAGCTCTGCAGAGTTCAGGTCCTCACAGCTCAGATCCTGAAAGTCAATAACGTATTTACAGTCACATGCTGTATCTCACACACCGTAACTACGTTTTTCAGAAGCCAGCACAGAATCCGTACTGGTGAATACTAGTTCACACCAACGCCTTTCTTCTACTCCATTTACTGGCGGATTAGAGACATGCATAAATCGTAGCCCATGCCGCCAACTTCTGACCAAACTAGTCTATTCTCTCCAAACCAGTAATTGGAAATGTCACTCTCATTAATGTTTTTGAAACACTAGTTGCTTGACAATTGAATGAAAACACGACTATTGACTACGTTTCAATGCACAAAGCATTTGATGAGGGTCATGTAAACAGAATATAGCTTTTCGAATTAGGCGTTATTTTGAATATAGGATTTTCAGATTAAGATGTGGGGTATGCTGATATCTTTGGACATGTAAACAATACAGCACAGACTCTGCCTCTTGCCTGTTTATGCCAGGCTAGCTATGTGCGTTGTACACAAACCAACTAGCAAACAGTTTGCAGGGCTGAGGTAGAGATGCATGCCCAAAGAAACCCCACGTTTCTGGTCGGCAAGAAGAACACACCTATTTTTTTGAAATGATGAAAGACATAGATATCAACTCTTTTCACTCTCACACAAAATAAAGAAACACGAGCGTGAAAATACAGAATCATTATTCAAAATGTATTTGTTGCCACTGGCTCCTTCCACCTAATACCCACATTTGATTAATGTGACAAAGCAGAAGTTCCAGTTGCCACCTTAGTCTATCTGGTGGCAGCATACACAACATTTGGCTCCAGCTCTCCCTCACATGCAGGCCTGCGGTTTCTTTTTGGTTTCATACTTAGAGCTATGTAGTTCAGGTCATCTGAGCCCAGGTCCTGTAAATAAGAGTCACACACTGTATCAAACACACACAATCTGAGTTTAATAAAACAAAAATCAAATCCTGTGCTGAAGAATTGAGATTAAAACAAAGAAGAAATCAGTTTACTGATTGAAACTGAGTTTGTTCAAACATCACTTTTAGGAAGAAGGGAGTGCTTGAAGTGTGTATCAGCAATCTCATTCTAATTATTTCTACTTATTTATTATTTCGTTAAGCATGTTATATTGTGTCAGTCATAGCTGTGATATTACTGTTATATTATTATACTTGGGTTATGCATCTTCTATAGTACACCTATAAAGTACCCATAAGATACTGAACAGACAGCAGAGGCAACAACAGATTCCCTCTTCAGCTATGAAAAATCAAAACACCTAAATCAGATCAATACCACCAATTTGCAAGTACAAAAGAAAATAAAGATGGGTTTCTGGAAAATAGAGATTAAAATAGTATTTGCTGCTCAGAACAATTCAATATCAGTACCTAACGCTGCTGAGAAGCAAAGCTGTTATTAAGGTGAAGCTCTCCTGCGGTTAACCTTGTCACAGCAAGTACCCATTATATCACTGTGCTTTCATTGGAAAGGGGCGGGCTAATGAATAGCTCATGCAAGGAAGCGCAAATTTTTCACCATCTGATATCTGTACCAGAGGCAATTTGAGCTGTCTGATGCGACAACTCAGACGGTTAGACTCAGTGCATGTTTGGGTTGAACAAACACAGGACTTTCACCCAGGAGACCGTCCTCTGTGTCTCGAGTGATACCAAGTTAATGCCATGTTTTTATGTAGCTTACACGCTTAACTAACGCCACGCATGTAAGTTACGTAACAACCATACTTTTGTTGCCTATACACCTAACCATGTAAACCTACAAAATGAGTAAACATTCATTAGAAGTGTATTTTGAAAAGACACTATGCATGTAAACCTGACCAAGCCGTCGGTATTTGACGAGCTGGGAGTGAGAATGTGTTGCACCAAGGATCAGCATGATGGAGCTGGAGATGTAGCCTATAGTGTTGTGTCTGTCAAAGTCAAGAAGTGGCCGAGGGAGGTGTTGACAAGATGGGTAGAACGAACAGACACAGACAGCATGTTAAGTACCCACAGCTGCTTTTATCAGTTCAGAGGAGCCACTGCTCATGTGCACACGACCATTCTCTCTCTTCTTGTGTCATCAGTTGACTCCTGCTCACCACACAAGTTCAACTTGTCCCCTCGAGGTGGCAATACAGGTCTCTGTCTACCAAGATGGCCTGCTCTGTCTTTCCCATAGAAATAAACACTCTAAGCTCTGTTTTGGCTAATGTTATTTCAGTTAGATGTTTGAGCTTCACTTTGCAGAAAGACAAGAGGTTGTTTTCACATTTATCTCCCGTAGGAGGGAAGTTCCTTTGTGGTCACCGTAGATTTCTTTTTGAAGCTACTACAAGGAACTTTCATATTGTGTTGATTTCAGCGTTCCCTCTGGTCAAAGGTGACCTTGTTTCCGAGCACCAGCTTTCATTTAGAAAACTTCTCATTTTACCACAGGAGGGCCTGACAGTCTGCCCCCCCCCCCCACAGTCCTGGTTCTGGTTCTCACGTGCCTCCCTTCCCTCCAGCGGGCCCAGCAATATGGCCTGGTGTCAGCTCCCAGCAGGGAACTGTGGAGCAGCATAGTAAAGCTCTGCTCCTGGCCAGAGAAGGAGACGCTGTTGCTGGGAGCAGAGGACAGCAGGTCGAAGGTGGCAGCAAAGCCGTATCTGTGTTGGTCCGCAGCTGGGCTGGTTTTGTGCCAGACGCCTCGCTGGAGTCTGAATGTGGTTCTGGTGAACCTGCTTGATTGAGTCTGATTTGAAACAGAATAAAAACAAAATCTGTTTTGCGTCACAAAAAAAAACAAGAAATAAATAATAAGCAGGTATTATAATTATAATTGGAGCAAATTTACTGTTTTATGAAACCATATAGCCACTCTATAACAGTCTTACTGTTAAAAAAAAGGAAAAATCAAACCAAAAATTACCTTTTTATACAAGTGACACTATTCTCGTAATAGTAAGAAATATTCTGAAATGATGCTTTTTGGTGGGTGGCTCAAAGTGAAGAGAACACAAAGATGTTGGGATAAACTTTAGAATTATACAAGAGTGCATAAACATGTTTGACTATATCATTGACAATATCATCAAGTGTGGCTTCAGAAGAAGTTATAATTTCTAATCTCACTTTCTGTAAACTGTCAAACCTGCGTTGAAGAGAAGCTTAGAACTGCATTTTACATGTTTTGCAATCCTAATATGTTCATTCATTTTCCACTGACACCAACACGGATGTTTTTAAGTGTCATACAGTTTGACCCTCTTAGCAACCAATCAAACGTAACCCCATTTTGAGCTGGTTTCTGCTCCGTCGACAAACCTTTTCGTTCTTGAGACCTCTGAGATGCACCTGTATATGATCATCTGCGGAGTCTGTAAGTTTCTTCGTATGAAATATTTTCAGTGTATGAATGTCTAATTAAGGCCCAAAATTAAATGTGAGTTCATGCTTCTACAACATTGTCTCTTTTTTGACCTAGTTCACCTGTCGGCAGGGATCCAGTCGGCAGCAGTGAAACAGGACACTGGGGTTGTATCTGCCAGCATCGGGGACAATGTCATTTTACATTGTTTCTACAATACCCAAGTGGCAATGCACTTCTCCTGGTACCGACAAACCATAGGAAGTGGACCCGAGCTCCTGTCTAATTTTTACAAGTATGATGAACCATCCAAAGTCTTCCGCTGGTTGGAGAAGAACCCTCGTTTCTCTGTGCAAAGGAAGGAAGGGATGAATCATTTAAACATCTCTGACGTCCGTTTATCAGATTCAGCCACATACTTCTGTGGAAGCACACACTCCAACATGGCGGAATTTGGAGACGGGGTCTTTCTAAGCATCAAAGGTATTATTTTTCATTGGCTTTTACTTTAGATAACAGGCAGAGGTAGCATATCATCTGATTTAAGTTTTTTTCAATCACCTCATGTATTTGCTAAATTGTCACTGTTCATTTGCTTATAGTTGTTAAACAAGCAAATATGCATCATATGTAACATATCATCATGTAACTCTTGATATTTGTCTTTCCAATCAACACTTGTCGATCTAAAATATGCTGTTCCTTTGAAGTTTTCATATATTTTCACAGAAAAATAACTGGATCCAAAAGAGGCTAATTCTCATATTAAACCCCTTTAAAAAAAAGAAAAGAAAAGAAAAGTTAAAGGCCCTACTTAAACTTTATGTCTCCAAAAATGAAATACAAATAAAGCCTAATTTTCTGTGGATTGTAGGAGCCAACCTCAAAGAAATAGTCCAGTGGCCAGTATCTGAGACCATCCAGCCAGGTGGCACTGTGACTTTCAACTGTACCATACACTCTGGGACCTGTGATGGAGAACACAGCGTTTACTGGTTCCGACACGGATCTCGCCAAGGCGTCCTTCAGACGCACGGGGATCAGTGTAAACACGTCTCCACACCTCCAGGGTATCCTTCACAGAGCTGCGTCTACCATTTGCAGAAGGTGAACCTGAGCTCCTCAGATGCTGGAACCTATCACTGTGCTGTGGCCTCCTGCGGGGAGGTGCTGTTCGGTAATGGAAGCGAGCTGCTCGTCAAAGTTGGTGGAAAAGACCAAATGGCACAGATGACAACCTTAGTCTGGCTCTCCATCGTTAGAACTGTGATTCTCTTGTTCTTAGTATCTATTTGTCTCCTGGTTTACATCGGTAAGAGCTGGTGAAGTCTTAAAGAGTTTGGCTCAAAATATCTCAGCTCAGTATCTTTGTAAAATGTATGCTATCACTAAAAAATAAAAAGGTTTTACACACATTTTGTTGTTTGACTGTATTACAATTTTCTAAATAAAACACTTTGACTACTGTTTGTAGGTGGAGATTATGCATCTTTGTGCATCTTTCTTTATACTGCTCGACCCATCAGCCTAATATTTGTTGTGCTCATTTATGACTGAATGCTCATGGACCTCGTGTGGTTGTGGTGATTCACACTTTTTGAAAATATATTTTATTGACTACTGCTGACTCCTCCCTACTTTTCTTATGACATTTGTTTTCTTATTATGTCGGTAGGAGGAGAGCTAGTTAGCTGTTAGCAGCTGGTTGGAATCCTACGGTGTGTTTGGCTAACAGAGCTAACAGCTAATGGAGCTAAAGGCACAGCAGGACCGGAGCGTTAAACAGTCGGCATGAGGCGTTACACAGTGAAATGCAAATTAGCTGCACAAACCCAGCAGTGAAAATACTTTGAATCTATTGTCTTATTAACTCTTAAACTTTGTTCAGGTTTTTCTAACCACAGCGCAACATAACCTCTGTGTTTTTTACTCACAACCTGTGTGTGGTTAAACACAGAGAATCACACTGTTATGGAACATCACTGAACTGCTGCTTCTAAACATATAGTTTGATCACAAAGATAGGTCCCTGTGATCCACTGAAAGACTTAGTGGTGGAGCTACACAAGGTTACTTGCAACAAAATGAGGACATCCTGCTTGAAACCACCAGTACACAAACACAAGGAGAGCACAGGGTCTTTCAGAGGCACTGGACTCTTTTATAGAGAATTTATAGAAATGTCTCATCTGACGACCACAAGACTGTGAAAAGATACTGATTGTGAAAGGTGCGGCCTGCTTTCTGTGATGAAGCTGGAATGTCATTGAACATGAAACAAGACAAAAATATACAGAATAATATTCTCACTGAGTGAATTTACATAATGACACACTCGTTTTTCCGGGACTTTCACACAAACAAGACTTAAGGTACGACAAATGATAAGAAATATGTTCCGTTGATTTCAGTTGATGAATAACTAAATACTCAATAGTCTGAATACTTTATATTAATGTAGTGCAGTTCAGTTACATGCAACAGTGTTACCACTGATGCTAAATCTGTGAGGGATGCAATGGTTTGTTTTGGATGGTCGTAGTTTTCGTAACAATTCTACAAAGAATTGTATTTTTTCTTTAATTGTCTCACTACTTTTAAATTTAACCAACCCCATCATGATTGTGTAAAAATAGTTGTGTTTCTGATTTACTTCATCATGTTGTTCTTTTGTGCTGCTTCTTTTACTAATTTGTCCGACTGGACTACATGCTGAGACCATTATCATTGACATACTACTACTACTACTATGATTAATAGTACAATTATTTTATTCTGCGTATACTGAATAAAACCATATATGTGGTTTTATTCCACATACAACTGCATATGTATGGCTAGGATTCTCGGGTATTGCTTATTTTTAATTTGCACATTATAATTATCTAAAAATGTAGCTTTTGAAAGACAAATAAAAGACACTCAACACTCAAATGTGAACTTGAGAACTAGTTACATCAGTAATTGATCTGCACCACCAGGAGCTGTTCAGGTGAACAAATGAACACCTTTGTTGGACCTTCTCATGTTACGGGTCTGGCCTGCAGTCCAAACATGTACAACGTCGATCAAATGTAGCAGGTTCAAGTTAAGTTTATTTAGTTATAAACTAAGAGTGCTGAAGCCTAAACCCCGCTTTGGGCCGCAGTTGTGTGTGTGAACCTAAAGTGAAATGTGGACGGGTCGACAGGGTGAAAAGAAAAAGTATGGAATAGCCCTTTTCAACCTTGACAGGTGGGGAAAGTAATAAATGGGTCACACCTGTGAGCTGGGGGAGCAGGGGGAAAAAAACGAACAAAGCGTGGAGGCGAACAGAAAGAGGAGGGCGAGTGGCTAAAGGATCACTAAAAATGTAATCCAGTTTCTGGAAATCTTTGCTACAAAGAAAGACCGATAGTGCCATATATAAAAGTAAACAGAGTGGAAGTTGTTCCAAGAATCGGCTGGGTTTCCCTGTGTTCCCTGGGCAACAATGTGTGCTGATGGAGTGGGTTTGGATTAAACGTGTTCAACTATCTCTGTGACCTACTCGGATATGGCTGTGGACTTCCTTTTCTTTGTTGGACCTTCTCATGTCAAAGTGACAGGTTTTTAGAAAAATGATTATTCTCCTCTCCGGTGCGCAACTCTTACTTTAAGTATTTGGGGTAAATTCAAGCTACAACACGGACGAAACGCCTTCTGTGAAGATGAGATGTTAATCAACACTGTATAGCCAGCTCCTACATTTCCCACATTGCACCTCAATAGCATCTTTTTCCTTAGACCCAGAATACCTGGTAAATCAGGCTGATTAGTACTGCTCTCGATCTCACTCATCTTCACGTGTTCCCCTGTAAATGCAATACTTACACTAACATTGTGGCATCTCCACTTCTAACTTAGTAAAGGACCTAAACACCTTTCCTGTCAAAGACCAGCTTAGATTAGATCTGCATAGGATCTATAGTTAAGATGCAAAGCTCTTTTTCCATCTAGTTATATCACGTCAGGGCAAAAGAAAACCGTAACATTATGCAACAGTGCTTGTCACGCAACAGACCCACCTTAGCATATAGGGAGAAAAATGAAGTAGCAGTGATGAAGAGACATCCTGCCTGTAACCACAGAGACAAAGACACAAGATGCTTTGAGATCTCCTCTCTTTACTCCGAACAGCAAAAATCTTCTTACACACACCGGCTTTGTGGCAGCATGCACAATAAACAACCTGCAAAGAATGTTCTGTGGTGGCTTTGTCCTCACTGAGTATGTGATGTAAGAGATGAAGTGCTGGTTAGAATTGTGGAAACTTTCAGAGTAGATAACGACACCAGCAGACCTGTGAGTGTAGTTCTTTAACAATTGTAATAATCAGTCTTGCAGTGTTTTTTTCAGTGGAACATCTTTTCTTCCAAGGCAAGCCCTTATATTTATTTAATAAAGTGTTCGTGTTTCAGAAACAATAGCAGATGTCTTGGTACACAGAACCATCTCCGGCCCTACGGCCTTACGCTGGAGTACACACATTCATGCTGGGTGTTGGCCGTCTGTCTTCTTGATCTGTTGCAGTTGTGATCCCTTAAAGCAGCGTAATGGAGGTTCTCTGCATCTACACATAGCTGGGAACAAAATATAAAATAAATTATCAATCGCTATAATAAACAATATAGCACAAGAGAGACATGCGGAAAAAAAAATCATATTAATGCTCTTGAATTAAACATTTGTCAAGAAAACATATAATTGTCAATATAAATTATATTGACAACTTGCTAACTGTATGTTGCGCATATGTTATAGCAGCAGCCGACATGTAAAGAATATAAAGATATTGCTGCATGATTAAAAATAGTGATACTTACGGCTGTATTCGGAGGAGAGTTTTCTGAAAATGTTTCATTACTCTCTGGTTGTGACACACAAAATGAAAGCCATGTTATTCCAATGGAATATGTACTCAATACCTACTGTCGTATTCAAAGAGTAACAGTTACCTGCACTTTGGCGGTTTCTTTGGTTGCTCTTATACAGTGAGAAAGCCAGTAAAACAACCAGCATGGTGGTCAATGCCCAAGCTGCACTCAAGAAATACACCAAAACCAGAGAGTCCCCGTCACCTGAACAGAAACAGATATCAGGAGACATTATAGGGATTTTTAATGTTGATTTAAAGGACTAGAGTTGCATTCTGTCAAGTATATCTGAAAAATTAATACTGACATGCCCATTTGTACAACTGAAAGGATTACTGGTCATAGTAGAATGTTCCTTCCTAAAGCTTTTTCAATTTAAGTAATTTAATTGACACAAGGCTTCAGCAGTCTGATTTGGACAAATGAAATTGGTGTCTTTCAGCAGAGGAATTATACTCCCATATCCCGAAATGCATTATCAATAACGTTTAGGAACCAAAAATTTCTCCCGAATTACTATTTTTAGTTTTGAAACAGGCGTATTTAGTATTATTGATATGAACGTATTTTTGCTTCAGAAATGTCGAGATTCAACGTATCCGTGGTTTGCAGAAATGTACAATGCCATTGTTTTGTTTTGGTGACTGGGTTGCCTGCAAACACAATACTCAGAGACCACATGCCAATTGAAAGACACATTGGTCAACGGTTCACGACCCAGTGAAGTATCTGCCAAAGCAAGACTGCTGTAACAAACTAGGGGAGAAAATACCCTGTGTTAGATTTTGTCTACTGTCTCCCACAGCGGAGGAATCATTTTATGACCAGATGACAAAAGAAATGATTACAGTGACCAGTAATTACTATTGGCAAGTGAGTATCAGTTTTAGGCAGACTTTTAGACTATCCTTTCAGCAGTTATGATCACAATTTATTAAGTGAGACAACCTTTGCTAGTGTTACTAACCCTCAAAGTCCAGCTTGGTCCCGTCTCCAAACAGTATGTGTCCACACGAGGCAACAGCACAGTAGTAGGTCCCAGCATGAGACGGGTTCAGGCTCTTCATCGGCAGGTTGTAGACACAGGTGTGTGTTTGTGTGTTGGGTTTCCTCTTACACTGATCATTCTTGCCTCCATCAGTGTAAATGAGTCCTGGACGAGATGCTTCAGAGTCTTTGAACCAGTAAACACTGTGTTGTCCATCACAGGTCCCAGTGTGAACTGTACAGTTCAGAGTCACAGAGCCTCCTGGCTGGATGGTCTCAGATGCTGACTGATGGACCACAGCTGGGACGTTCAAACCTGAACCCTTTACACTGACAGTAGCGGCGTCGCAAAATTTAAAGTCAATCAAATTGCTCCCTATGCAGTAGTAAGTGGCTGAGTCTGAAATTTGCAGATCTGAAATCTTCATGTGACTTTTACCGCTTTCAGTATCCAGTGAGAAACGTGGATTGTTCTTAAATTCACCGTGGAAGGTGCAATTACGGTTATACGTATAGGATGCAGCAATCAGCTTTGGTTTCTGTCCCAGGGTTTGCTTATACCAGTAAAAAACCAACCCTGCATCATCACAGACGCACGGCAGAGTCACATTTCCCCCAACATCATCCGATAGAAAATATAACAAGGATTGATTTAAAGTTCCCATAGCAGCTGAGGAGGCAAACAAATAAATTTAATGCTAGTATGTAAAGATGCATGAAAACATATCACAAGCAAACACAGTTTAAAGCAAACAGGCAATAACAAAACACATCTTACCCATATCCGTCAAGATCAGACATGTGATATACAATGCCAAGCTTGAAGGTGTCATTGTGCTTCAAATGCTGTGATGAATGAAGTGTATCTCTATATGTTCTTCCCTCTTCACAGAGGAGACTGTTTGATCAGCCAATCAGATTAGATGTCCTATTTTGACAAACAGTGAACACATGTTCAGCGGCCCCTACTTCGGTTTTGTTGGTCTTAAGAAGAGTCTCATCCACAGAGTGTGTGCAAAATACTAACCACAGTTGTAAGTGCGTAGCATTGATTATTTGATAGCTACTTGCCACATATAGCATGTATAGCAAACGGCTTGGAAGGAATCATTTTCAAGATAACATTCAAGAACATTTACCACTTTTAAATGTTGTTGCTTTGGCATTCTGCTGTTTGATTCACAGTTAAGGACATGAATGACTTTTCCTTTAGTCCAAACACCGAGAGAGTCATCTGTGGTGTCGTAAGACAACATTTTTAGCAGCAACTGAAGGTATTGATGGTCATATACAACTAGAAGTAGACAGCAACAGTTCAACATGGTCTGATATACATGTGCAGTATGTACGATGTGACACGTGAAAGTGTGTATATGTAACGGGTGTAGTTAGGACCCAGGAGCAGTACGACAACACCAGGACTGGTATGATTTGAGTTCTTTATTTGTAACACACGACAGGCAAAAGATTCTCTGGAAGAATCCGACAGGTTTCTCGTGGTCAAGGACAGAAGGGCTGAGTAAGTTACCAGGACAGAGGCAAGGCGAGGTAGTCCGGGACAGGCAGGATCGGCAACAGGGAATCAGTCCATGGGTGAGTGCGGGAAAGTTGAGCATGAATGCAAAGAACGATCTGGCAGTGAGTGTGTCTGAGACAGGGGTTTAAATAGTGAAGAGGCAGAGTGAGCAGGTGAGAGTGATGAGCTGATGAGGTGAGTGTGACTGGCAGGTCCACTGAGTGAACTAATTAGGTGAGTGAAAGGTGGATAGAAGTGACAGAGCTGTGACAGTATAGGCTGTTCTCCTTCACTGTTTGTACGTATGCCTGAGAAAACACTCTGTAATCTGTATAAACTCTATGTAGTCCTGAGCCAGGACGTCAGGGCTGCTTCTATGAAGTCAGGTGACGCAGTGTAAAAAGAGCGACTAAGTCCATGTGAGGAGGAGGTCGGGGTAGATACATAGGTCAAACAAGCATCGGACTCTCACCAGAGGAGATCACTTTTACCTTACTTTTGTTACGTTAATTACACCACGTATGTAACAAACTATTCTTGAACCAAACCACGATCTTTTCCTACAGATAACCAAGTGGTTTTGTTGCCTAGACAGGTTCTGCACTGCAGCAGCCTGCTCGTGTTGCTGGTCACTCTTAGGAGAACGCACAGAAAATGGCCAATACCTTTGGCCTACAAATCTGGCAAATGAAAAATAAAATCAAACTAAAGCAATACACAAAAATAAATGTGTGCATAATGAGTGATCAATAATAAACTGGATCTCGGAACCCTTGGCTATTGGTCTAATGACGGAGAGGCCTCTGGTGGCTAGGGGATGTATTTCTGGGCTTCCGGTGTAGCCAGAGGATATCCGGGCCAATACTTCATTTTCTGTGATCTGCTCGTTGTTTCCACTCCGATTAGCAACTTGAGATACAACACTTGGAGTTGGAGTTGAGATGTGACATATAGGACCGGATTGTTTCACAAGTAACAAGCTTACAAGTTCATTTTAAAGAAATAAAAAGTTAAATCATTGTCGGATGATAGCTGATGGGTTACCAGATTGCATTTCAGCCAATGTGATCCACCTCTTTTGCCCTCAAAATAGAGTGTTTACCTTAATTTAACCAAAACCTCCTCTTACGTGATTGGTCAATGCTACAAACAGAAACCAGAATGCTTCCGATACCAATCTTGCCCAGCTGCATACAGACTGTGCAGATTGTGTTTATAGAGATTATGAACTGGCAAATGCATAAAGGCGCATGATGTTCATCCTAAGTTGTTTGCAGTGGTTTCCTTGGGGATTTAAAATCACACGGATGCTGTCTGGTTGATAGATGAGTAGTTTATGGCTCATACAACACTGTCTGAAACCACTACATTATTTGAGTTGTTTTATTACATAATAGGCACCAGAGCCTAAGATGATACCCCCCACTGCATTATTGCAGTTTGTTCAATGAGATTGCATTTCCTATATTTGCATTTAAGACATGACCCTCATTTTACAGAGCTGCCCTCATAAAATGACTTCTCTTTGTTCTTGGTTTCTGACTGGGCCAGTCTTCCTGTGCTCAAGCGAGGACTGAAGTTTCCACCAGCGGAAACCAGTTCACAGCACTTCACACCTTATTTACCACAGCAGTCAGAACAAGAGAATGCAGAGAGCTGGCTAGTTTTGAAGGTTGTACCCCCGCTTACATTTCTGGTTGGAAGAAGTTATTAACAGACCAGAGGGGATTTTCGAGCATGTTCTGCTTATGTCTGCATCCAATGCTGTATATTTATTTTCATTTTTTAATTTGAACGTCTTTAGACTAAAAGAATAGAAAATATATAGTGCACTCACTCCATACTGGACTGGTGGCAGCCTCCCGTCACCTACTCTGGCAGCCTTACGAGGGCCTCATTTCACTCCTGGCCAGTACCGCACTACAGCTGCCTCCAACACCCGGTGGTCGCTTGACTTGTAATCTTGCCAAATAGTTTACCCATTGATGTCAGAGAAAAGCAGGTCAAAGAGAACTGAGACGATTCAAATGCGTAAATTCAAAACAACATCACTTATTCACACCAGACAAATTCAGTAAAGCCTTTCAGTTATTTGTACAGAGGAAGCACTTTATTATTTCCATGTGAAGATAGTATGGATGATAGTCCACTGACTGGCCTTACATTGCAGACATGAGGAAGTGCTAAGCTGACTTGTTCATATACATATACATAGATACAGAGCTCCTTGGTGGTCGTGTTTTTCTTGTTTATGTACAGCTCAGCAGTTCCTACTCCATCAGTCTTCAATATCCCTGGTTTGTCTGCATTGCAGAGATGAAACTTTTCGGTTCCTTTGACAGTGTGTGATGTCAGAATAAATGACTCCACTGTATTTCACTGAAGCTTGAGTGGGCGGGAGGCTTCTGGGGACCAAACACACAGGTGCATAGATAAGTGCATCACCCATCTGTGAGAATTGGGATTAAAATGATTAAGGCTTGTTCTCAAAGATGGCCATATGGATATCAAACAGAAAAATCATATCCAGCTTAAAAATGACGCTGTAGGTGCTGAGATGAACTCTTACCTGGTGGCCTTCAGAAGACCCATCAGTTGCCTCTGAAGAAACAAAGAGATAACTACAGTCAACTCCAGTCACAGCAACATGTAACAGAACATGGATCTGACTCTGCTGCAGACATACAGCCGATCAATATGGTTTTAAATACCTGAGGAATATTTTCTCCGACTCTTGCATAGTGTCCATGTAAGGACGAGTGTCACAATCCCCAGAATGATGTTTGACAGCATCAGAGCAATAACTGCTGGACTCAGCTCAGCTGGTTTGGTGACAGCATTGTCTGGAGAAGAGATTATACCAACAGTGATTGATATAATTTTACAAATAACTAGCTGTGCAAGAAGAGTTAACATATCGTATCTAGCCATACAAATAGTTTTGGTTTATTTAGGATATCTGTCACCACCCAATACACTTTATTACAATACTTTATTAAAAAATAAAAACTTTATGAATGCAAAAACTTGAAAACGTTGGCTTTAGGGCTACAAATAACAATTCCTCTTTTTTGTTTTTTTGTGAATCTGCAAATTATTTTTTAATGATTCAGTCTATAAAACATCAGAAAACAGTGACAAAAGTTTCGAATCTTTGATTGAAATATGACAATGACCAATTAGTCAATTTTCACATTTCACTTCAGTAACAATCAACTAATCCTTTCAGCTCCAGCTGGCTTTGGACTTAATCTTGGGTTTCACAGCATTTTTTGATACTAAGCTAAATAGAATCTGTGTTTACGATTTCTGTTATTTTCTAGGAATTGGAAGCACGATGGACTAAAACTGTACGTGTATAGTGACCGTTTCTGTCTTACTGTGAATATTAATCCTGGTCCCATTTCCAAGCAGTGTCTGTCCACATGAAGTCACAATACAGAAGTAGGTTCCAGCGTCATCGGAGCTACGGTTCCTCATGAGATGGCTGTACAGGCAGGTAGTCCCTTCACTCTGAACGGTCTTCTCTCCAGAGGAGTACATCAATTGTGGAGCCGAGTGATGACTAGTGTGTTGTGCTGCACACCGGCCAGTTTGAACGGAACAGCTGAGAGACACAGAGTCTCCTGGCTGGACTGATTTAGATTCACTCATCACGTTTGCACCTTGGGAAGAAATCAAAGAATTTTGATCATTAGCATTATGTTCACATTACCATAAGCATTAAGCTGCGTTAATTGGAATACAGAGAATGAATACCTTTCAGCATCAAAAAGGTTCCTGATCCAAATTGAATGTCTTTGAACTGCAAGACTCCGCAGAAGTATGTTCCCGCGTCTTCCCATGTTGTTGCAGATATGCTCAGATGACTGTTGATTCTGTCAAACTTGACTGAATAACGGAAATGAGATTCATCAGCAAATACAGTCTGGTTGTAGAAATAATTGAATGCCGCCACAAGCTGTAGTCCCTCGCCTGGAGTGTATCTGTACCACACTCTTTTTTTCAGTTCACTCTTTATGTGACATTCAATGGTCGCCGAGTCTCCGAGCTTCACTGCTTGGAACGCAACAGGCTGAGAGATGTCGCTTAGCTGTGCAGCACCTGAAATATACAGACGGAGATGTGGTCAGCTCTGTGTTTGCCGGCACTCATGAAAAGGATTTTTCTTACTTACTCAAAGACCAGAGCAGGAAAACATTCACAAAGTGCAGCATCATCTTGTCAGCACTGTCTGTCCTCAGCAGTACGGCTCCTTCTCCACAGCAGTTCTGACTGAAGCAACAGCAGACAACAAATTCATCACTTGTCCTACATTCTGCCACATCCTACAGGTCTGATTGGTTCGTCATCCTCACCTTGCAGAATATGGTTGGCTGGATAACATTGAGGCAAAAAAACTAATCAAACCTTGGCCTGTTTTGTCATCTGTGTCAACAGAATGTATGTTAGTTGATTGAATGGCAACACACACATGTAAGCCAGGCAAAAATGGAAACTGCAATTTAGATGCAGACTTTCCAGAAGAACGGAGGAGTTCTCGAACTGAAAGTGTGTCTACATGCATAAGGCTGGTGGAAAAAAAAAAATGTGGGTGAGGGTAACAGATCCAAGATCAGCTGTATTATAACACTTGGTTGCACTGACCCGAATAAAGTGAAGCGGGTGCATTTTAGAAGATTAAAAAACCTCAACCACAGCCTCGCTTTCCCAAAACACTGACCCCAGCTTATTAGAGGGACTATTTATTCAGTAGAAAGTAGTTCCACCTAAGCCTGTAACACTATTTCTGGAAATACATGCTTCTTGTGACTTTTAAAAAATCATTACTTTTTGACCTTGTTGTATTGGGGCACAGGCACAGTATTTCTATACAAAAATTACAAAAACCCCGACCAATCAGCTTCCTGGGAGGAGCTACTGCCAGCTATGGCTGTGGTTTAGGTGTGTGTGTGACACGACACAGAGAGGCGACTGTTTGTTCTTTCCAAACAAAAATGCCAGCTCCTAAAGAGGTTAGAGTTTGATTAACATATGGTTCATCCAATCACCTGCCAAGTATTTTTTTGAAGGTGCCATTTTCCAAACAGTCGCAAATGACGGCTTCTTAGAGGTTCTGTGTAACAAACCATCTAATGGATCAGGTATTTGATAACTACTCCTATGTAGAGACTTTTAAATGTTTTTTGTCACACAGAGAAAAATGGCAGGTGTCCCGATTATTATTTTGTTTGAGATGTGATTTCTGTAGTTAGGTGGAGTTGAGAGAACGCAACTTGCTGACGCCTGTGTAGAGCATTGACCAGTACAGAAGAAGTTTGTCATTTGGCTC